TCCCTTATTTCTTGCCACACCAAACTTTTCATTTTTGAAGTATTTGTGGATTTCTTTTTCAGAGGTGCAAAAGTCATATACCATGTCCCATTAGAGGAATTTCAGCATTTGTTTATCATCTCTCGGTAGAAGTCTGTTGTAACTCTCCCAAAATCCCATCCTCGCCAATACCACTCTAGCTTAACCACAAGATCACAGAGTAGCTGAGGTTAGAAGGGACCTCCAGAGGTCAACTTGTCAAAACCCCCTGTTCAAGTAGGGCCACCTAAAGCTGGTTGCCCAATATCATGTTCAGATGGGTTCTGTGCATCCATCTCTATAATGGAAACTCCACAGTCTTTCTGGGCAACCTTTGCCAGCATTTGGTCATCCTCACAGTGGCAAAAAGTGTTTGCTGATGTTCAGAGGGAGCATCCTGTGTTTCAGATTGCGCCCATTGCTTTTGGTCCTTCACTGGGCACGACTGATAACAGCCTGACTCTATCCTCTTTGCACCCTCCCATCAGATAGTTCTGTACATTGACAGGATCCCCTTGAGCATTCCTTCTCCAGACTAAACAGTCCCCACTCTCTCAGGCTTTCCTCATAGGAGAGGTCCTATATAGTCCCATAATCATCTTTGTAGCCCATCAGGAGACTCTCCAGTATGCCCATTTCTCTTTTCTTGTGGGGGAAGCCCAGAACTGGACACAGTACTACAGATGTAGCCTCACCAGTGCTGAGCAGAGCAGAAGGATCACCTCCCTTGACCTGCTGGCAATACTCAGTCTATTGCAGCACGAGATGCCATCAGCCTTCTTTCATGCCCATATTAAATAACAGAAGAAGGGAGTAAAGTCCTTGTGTTTTCTCCATGGAATAAAAAGTGCTAGGTACTTAAATCTTCTTATAAAAAATGAAGCATTAAGGAAAAACAGCTCATCAGTGGTCATTACAAGTTAATTAATCTTCTTTATAGCATCCATAAGTATAGCTAATGCATTAGTATTTCACACATTCAACTCAGAGATGAGAAAATATAAATCATTAATATATCCACTATTTTCCAGTAACCTCATAAAAAAAAAGAAAAGCCTGACATACCTGGTAAAAATTGTGAGGCACTCCATATCTTACAGAGTTGAGAGACCTATGTAAGGTTATTTGCAGCAGGCAGCAGGTTATAGGAGGAATTTTAGGAAATTCAGTCCCCAAAAGACAGATTCTTAACCGTTCATAAGCCACCTCTCATCGAAAGCAGACTAGTTTGCTCCTTCACACAAGGTATGAACTGGAGGAGTATTCTCAGCTATGGTACCATACAGGTGAGAAGAGTACACTTGTACCGTGTTTAAGGGGGACACGTCTCAATCCTACAGCAACACCATATAGCTACCCATCTTTTACTTCATCCAAGGTCTCACTCTGCTTCTGTCTATTACACACCCTTGATTATCTTCCTATTCCCTTTCATATTTCCATAACACATCCTAATTGAGAATTCCTCTCTCCTTGGGAATTATCAGCTACTCATTTTCAGTGTCCTTTTATTGGCTTTGTGCAGCTGCTGAATGAGGCTGGTGCAGCAATCAAAGACCTGTTTGGCTATAAGCAACATACCTAAGGTCTGGAATTAATAAGAAATGAAGCTTAACTAGGAACTCCTGCATGTCTTTTATATATATCCATAGTAACAGAGCTCATAGCAGACTTTTTCACTTGGTCAGCCATCCTGACAGTGGTTGCTATGAATGTTTTGATGGTTTCTTGGCAATTAAAAGGTTTTGTAGAAACTGATGTTTCTGACAGTACATTGTTTCTGTGAGGTGAATTTCACGTTTGACCACGTGCTATTCTGCCATTCTATAAATATACACATACATAGGCACAAATTAAACAGCAGAAGATGCTTATTCGATTCAGGGTATTTCCAGCATGCACATAATGAAAACACTCCACATGCAGATAATAACCAAAAATGAGTATGGACAGTCTAGTTCAATGTAATTGCAACCCATTTTCACTATAATCACTATTGCTTTACAACAAGGCATCACACAACCTTGCAGCAGATCAGAACCTAAACCATGACTTTGAAGATGATAAGGAAACAAAAAAAAAAAATAATTGTTTATAGCATCTGATATAATGTTCACATTATAATATAGCAAAATGAGACATTTTGTGGCTTTTCATTCCAGTGCAGGAATTAAACTAGAGAATGCTAGATCCAAGTGACGTGTTTCAAATTTGAAGCACTTACAGATGAAAAACAGCCTATATGGCTTTTGGACAAAATTAGTAACTCCAAAACTGCAGAATACAATCATTAAAAGGCTAGTTCACTAACAGATTAAATAAAATTTTACTTTACAGGACAGATGCCTTTTATTAGTTCAAATCTCACTTGATTTTATTCACCCCTTTCTATGTAGCCATTTAAAATTTCATGAGCAATTAATATTAATCAGAAAAAAGATTTGAATTATTCAATCAAACAAATCTTCCACATTTTTCTGTCTTTTAATAAGTTCTTTATATTGCAAGTGTTACAGCAGTAGAGCACAAAAGTCACTTGGAATTTAAGCTTTGTTTCACTTAAATGTCAGGAAAAAATTATTTTTAATAATAAATAAATAAATATTACCATTCACAGATATGCAAAAATAAACAATCACTCATTCAGATTATTATGCAAATCAGATTATTTCCTCCCCATTTGTAGTTTAATCATCCAGGAATAACTAGAAATATATAATGGATATTTTGGACACAGAAGACATTTTTCTACTGCAAAATTCAGCAATTTCATCATCCCTTGCAGTCATAGAATGATAATGAAGATAATAAATTTATGATTGCTAACTTTCATTTTAGGTTTCCATTACTGTATTCATCTTACTGTTTTTCCAATACCTAGTTGCAAACAAGGAACGGAGGCCAAGGCACATGTAAAATTCTCAGTGATGGAACTGAAATGTGCTCTATACCACCCACAGCCCATGTTGGAAGACGGACTAAGAGGCATGCTGCTAATTTCAGCAGACAGGTATGGAATGACTTCATTTATACTTGGAAATGAGAAATAATATGGGGAAAAAATTGCTTTGAGGAATCATCCAAATGGGGTAGTAAAAGTGATTTACATGTGGTTAACAAATCCCAAATAGGAGTGAAAGGTAACAGCCTACTGACTGGCTTTGGAGATCAGTTAGTGCTGGTTCCAGTTAGCTCTCTGGGGATGACTGGGTAGCTAGAGTGAACAGAACAGTAATTTGAAAACACTCTTTAATGAAGCTGTGAAAAGCAATGAGTTAAATGAGATGACACAAAGAGACCTGGAAAGACTAGAAATCTGTGCAAAAGCAGCAAAATGAGCTGCTTCTTCCAAAAAGAAAAGAAAATCATCCTAATACACCTGGGAGAATCCAATTAAAAACAGATACAGAAATACTCAGTCTGGTGGAGAGGTCTAGGTAAGATTAATGATAGAGAAGTCCCAAGGGTGAAATCTAAAAGTGAATGAGACAGAGGCTGGCAACGTGATATGGCTGCAAAACTGATTTGTAAAATTCAGGTTTGTATTCACAAATGCAGCACATTATGGAAGAAGAAGGCATGGGATTTTGATAGCACATGCTCATCTCCCAGGATCACTAAAAGAGATCCCTATGAATTTGAAGGAGTTCATAGAAAAGCAAGAGCATTTGAAATTAAATTACAGATTTAATAAGGTATGTTCCTGCGGAAACAGAAAACTGTAAAGACCCATTGTTGGGGTTGACAGGACAGCAGTGGCCATTCTTTCATATTTGAGGAGAGGTAACAACCTAGGAGACTTATGTGCAGAACTTAACACCATTAGGAAACACTTGGTCTGTTCAGCCTGGAGAAGAGGAGACTGAGGGGAGACCTCATTGCAGTTACAACTTCCTCATGAGGGGAAAAGGAGGGACAGGCACTTATCTCTTCTTGGTGGTGACCAGTGAGAGGACACAAGGGAATGGCATGAAGTTGTGTCAGGGGAGTTTAGGCTGGATATTAGAAAAAGGTTTTTCACCCAGAAGGTGATTGGGCACTGGAACAGGCTCCCCAGGGAATTGGTCACAACACCAAGCCTGATAGAGTTCAAGAAGCATTTGGATGATACTCTCAGGCTCATGGTGTGATGCCTGAGGATGATTCTGTGGCAGGGACAGGAATTAGACTTTGATGATTCTAATGGTTCCCTTCCAACTCAGAATATTCTGAATAATCTATTATCTGAAATCACTTAAGAATTGGAGTCATCATTTATATGGACTGTAATTCTACAAATATGATCTAATTAATATTTCACGTCATGAAAAATTAATAGCATGTATATATTGCTATATGAACACAGTGCAGTGACAATTCTCCATATTTTGATAGAAATTAAGAATTTACACCAATTTTGATAACTAATAATTTTGCATTACCAGAAGTGACAGAATATAAGTAATTGAAATGTATAAAGTTGCACTGATCTTTGCAAAAAGTTGAGGATCAAAATCAAATATAGAGAAGGCTAATTCCACTTTTGCCACTTTACTTAAAATTACAATAGTAATGTGTGTAAAAAGCATTTCACTAATACTCTCTAATAAGTTAAAATAAAGAATCAAGCTTTCCTGAGTGAAACAGCTGCTAATCAAAAACAGCCTAAGTTTTCATCTCCAGGTACTGCATAAAATTCATAGTGTAAATCTTTGATATCAAGTGAATGAATGTGCCATGATGATATGGAACTTTCATTAAAATCTTGAAACATTTTATAACGGGAAACAACATACAGTTGTAGTTTGCTTCCCTGAGCAATGATTCAATACACAGCAAGTTTTCTTTGAGTTATATCTATTTTCCAATGAAATCACAACTAATATTAAAAGTATCACAGCAAATATTCTCTCGATGAAAGCTTCAGATTGTCCTACTTGTTTCTCAAGTGCTCAGTTCAGCTTATAAATAACCTTTGAGACAATAAAGGACATAGATGTATGTGTTTTATGTTATATTTTATTTTCACTTGAGAATCCTTAGATAAGAAGGTTTCAAGATGTAATATAGCAGAAAGATACACAACGTTCCCAGTTTCCAATGCCAAAAATCCAGGCTTCTCTTGTATTCCTTGAGCTAACTTTCTTCTAGTTTTCCATATTTTCCTGTACCTGTCAATAAGGAAAAATCAATTCTGCCTCATCATAGTTGAGAAACTGCACAGTGTATAGCCCTTGCAAGGACCTACATAATTCAGAAAAAAACACCTGCTTGCTCAAAACAATCACCTCTGCCAGGAAGCTTACACCACCTGGGAGGAATAACGTGTGAAAATATGCAGGCATATGAACAAGTTATGCAAGCTTAGGCATGGGTGAAATGACAACTAATTACTAAGTCACCTCACAGTTGCTGAAATGCTGACTTCCTTATGACTGTGGCAGCAAACTACGGCACTTTCAGTCAGGAAGATTGTATTTTGAAGGAACCTGAAGAGATAGGGAAGAGACAGGGAAGGGGGCAGGGAAAGGTGAAAAATTCTTTATTTTAATTAGCTATATTCTTTTAAGAATTTTGAGCAAAAGTAAACATAGATAAAACAGGACTCTTCCTTCAGTAAACTCTTAACAGAATTTTATTCCTGCCACCATCTGTATCTAGTGATTAAAAGGAAAGTTTCTTCAAATATATCATCTAACACGGCCAACAGCCACAGCCCAACCCATAATTCTCTCTCGTAAGCTTGAAAATAGTCAAGCCATTTAAATAAAATACGATAGTCTAGTTCATTATGCAGCTAAAGAATAAAAATTAAATTCAAACACTATCAACGAGGTTCCTAAACAGAGAAAACTGATTTGTTTGTCATTATTTCTATGGAATTCAGAAGGGAAAAAAATATTTGAGTGCTTATTTACTCCATTGAAAACTCATCCTCTTAAGTCAAATTGAAAATATCATAGATTCAAATTCTGGATACTTAATTTGATTCTGTAGTGACAGCCCTACAGGTCTGGACTTTTCTATGGATATGCATGTAACTTGCTGAGAGTTAAATGAAAAGTGGTATTAACCAATAATTTAGCAATAGAAAACTACTCATAAACAGATAACAAAACTAGCAAGAACTGTTTCCTTATTGTAAGGAAAAATATTTTGTGCATTGCTCTATCCATATATAAAGGCAGCAAGTAGTGTTAATATTCTTTAAAAAGCAGCATCACTTAAAGATGGTCCTTATAACTGAGTACTGCAGCATGTTGGCCTCACAACTGACTGGTTTAAGGACCTCCTGGCTGGAGTTGGTGAGGATTCCCAAAACTCACACAGGTATGATTGTCTTTTTTATAAGGTGAAGCCCATTGTGGAATTCAAAGGCAGTTTTGCCTTAAGGGCAAACATGCCAAACCTAGGCAGAAACCCACTGTTCTCCCTCAAATGTTCCTTTATCAGTCAAGTTTTTTAATGACACACAATGCTGTCATAGTATAACAGAAGCAACATTTAAAATGGAAGTAACAGCTTCAAAGTAAGAAAAAACACCTAAAGATAATACTGTAGGATGGTCTGCGACAGAGCTGGAAAAAGAAATTATGAACACATGTAAAATTCACACTTAAAGACACTGCACACTGGGACAGAGCACACACAGTGGCTAGCTGGTAGGGTAGATTAACAACTTGGTCCACATAAAAAAAAAGAAAAACAAAATACAGAGTTCTAGGTGGAAGGTGACGGAAAGGGGCTGACAAAGAAAAGTGTGATCTGCAGAAAGATCTCTGTACTGAGAAAATTCTATCTGGGCAAGGGCTGAATTTCCTTGCCTATAAACTTCCTCTATTCTGAGTTATGGTCAGAGTTGAGACAAAAACAAAACTCAAAGTTTCCTGGTCAAGAAAAAGATCCTATAATTGAAAGTAAGAGCTGAGACTGGATGGATGGAATGGTCCTCAAATATTAGCACCCATGAAGTGTGACAGTGTCTTTGTCCATAAGAATAAGGAATGAGAAAAAGGGAAACCCCAGAGATACAGCCTTGAAGGCTCTGGAAGAGTTCCAACAAACCAAGAAGGATTAGATGATGCAGCAATTCTCATATGGAAATAGTCAAATGGGAGTGGAAACAGTGGCAAAAAGGTCAGAACATGGTAAGGTTTTAACTTGTGAGAAGGCTGATAGCACATCAGGGTCAATGGTTAGGGTTTAGATCTAAGAAAAAGAGAAAAGCTAGAGCTCTGGTAACTGAAACAGGGCTATAAAGGGAAAGCTAAAACAAAGAGGGTGGAGGGGAGGGGTGGGTGGTAAAAGAATTAGTAAATTCCCTGAAAATTTTGTCAGCTTGGTCTTGTCTGGGAATAGGGATATAAAGCACAACATGTTTCTAGGTTAGGATTTGGATTACAATTCCCTTAGTGTTAGGGGAAAGAGAAAACCTAGAGCTCCTGTTGGACTGGGGGTGCAAACAGACCGAAAAAGTGAGGGCAAAGCTGTAAAAAGAATTGTCCCCTGAGAACTTTTTCTTCTGGGCCAGGGCACTGAGTCTTGAACAAAGGCTCAGCTAAGGCCAGGAACCATATTAAGAGTTAGAGTATTGGCTGGGAAAGAGACAAAGCCTACAGAGGCTGCAAAGAGGCTGACAAAACGAGGCTGTCAAAAGAATTGTTCCCTCAAGGCTTGCTCATTCCTGCTGTGGCATTGGGCATTGAGCTAAGATTCAGCAAAGGAGAAGGCCTCAGCCAAGGAAGAGGGTTAGGGTCAGGAAAGAGAGAAAACCTACAGCTGGAACTGGGGTGGGGTTACAAAGGGGCTTCCTGAAAAGGTGTAGGTTTCAGAAGGAATTATCCCCTTAGAACTCGATGTGGAGGTGGTGCCAAAACCTAAGGTAGGGTTAAGGTTCAAGCCAGAAAAGAAACCAAGCCTTCGGCTGCACTTACAGTGGGTCTACAGAGACACTGCCAATGAGGGATGTATGCTGCACAAAACATTCTCTTTAGAGAATTTGTTCACCTGGGTCATGGCATCGGTCTTGGCATAGGATTCATCTTCATTTGGATGGTTTATTTTTAAGGTTTGTCTCCTCCCCACCCCTAATCCTAGCACCAGCTGAGGCTTTTTCAAAGACAACCCATATGGTTGGAACCCGTATGTTGGAATGCTCTGGAACAACATTTTTGCTGGTCCACACCTCCCTTTGGCATCCCTGCTGCATCACTCCAACCACAGCACAAGGCTTTCTCTTTTTTGTAACCACAACCATAAGGTTAGGTCTTGCCTGGATTCTGTTGCAACCCATTGAGCCAGAGTCCAGGTGAACAGATTCCCATAGGACAATCCTTTTTACAGCCTTCCCCTTCCTTGGGCACAGCTGCACTCTGTGGTTTTCTCCCTTTCCAAACGTTTGATCTTGACCAACTTTGTCTTGGCTAAGCTGCACCCCAAGAACCAATGTCACAGCCCAGATGAAAAAGTTTTCCAGGGGACAATTCTGTCTGCAGCCTATATCTTTCTTGTGGCAGTCCCTTTGAAGCTCCCCTTCAACAGGATTTCTGTGGTTATTTTTTCATGATCCCTAGGAATACCAAGTGATAAGCAGACTGCCCTCGCCCTGGTTCCTGCTCCTACCAGAGGCTCCACATTCTTGAGAAGAAAATTCAAGTATCAGAAGTTCATTTTCTTAGAGGATTTTTCAGTGTCCTAAACACAGCTATCCTACAGTTTCTCTTTTTACTAACTGCAATTTTATTCCTAAGTATAATCCCAAACATAATACAAGTTTAGGGACTTCCCTTCTTCATTTTACCCAGAAAAGGATTTACTTCAGGGGAAAATCAGGCCTACGGGGTGATTTTTTTTTAAGACAGCCCTTCTTCTGCACCACTCAAGCTGTAGCTCTAGGCTTTTTCTCTCAATCATTAGAGTTGAAAAAGGAAGTAAGTGGTGCAAAAATAATTGTTTCCTTAGGAATTTTTCATCTTCACTGGCATTTTTTTTCTAAGGTTCATTTCAGGCTTTGGGTTAAAGTTATTTTTGACTGAAAATCCACAACTGAGTTTGATTCCATCTGGACAGCTGCTGACAAAGAAACCCATGGGCAGACTCTAATATTCTCCTTGGAAGAACACTGAATCTTTGCATGGAGTACTGTTTTTGGTTTATGTATCAGCCAAGCATTTAGGTTAGCGTCAGAGGAGGCAGAGGAGGTTTAGAGACAAAGAGAAATCAGAGATGTAGTTGTAGTGTGCATGTACGTGCATCTCATGTGCGTGTATGAGATGCAGTCGTAGCGCAATGTACCTTCTACTGTTAAGTAAGAGCTGATGCTACAACTGGAGAATTGCATCATATTTGTCTAAGCGTTTGTCTGAATGGTGAGGGTTTCCTCTCCTATGGTCCAGGCTAGTCTTAGGGTACTCAGTAAATATTAGGTTGTTGAGGAAAAGAATTAGTCCAGAACTTCAGGAAGACTAAGTCTGGAAAGGGACTGCCAAAAGGGAACTGTGAGTTCCAAAAAAAATATTCTTTTGGACAGTTTTCAGTATGGACAAAGTCTATCTGGTCTTTTGTGACACTTAACTGAGGTGTAGGATTTGGTGTTACGGCTTTTGTTACAGTTGTGAGACAGAGAAATAATAAAATGATACTTTGAAGACATCTTTTACAGTTAGTAAAGACTTATGTGAAAATTAGTTTCTTAGGAATATTGATTCCTTTTGGTTGGAGTACTAGCCCTGTCCTTGGTCAAACTGCAGTTGTTGCCTAAGGCTAGAGCTGCACGAAAGAAATTTCAGAACTGGCCTTTCAGGGGGCTGGTAATGGACTGCCAAAAGAAGCTGAAATTCTCCTACAAGGAAATTTTTGTCATGACTGGGCTGGCAAGCTTTTTTTCTGAGGGTCACCTTGCATTAGAGTTTGTGTTGAAAGAAATACAGTAATTTGTTTGAACATGTAAGATGTTTCCACTTTTACTAGCCTTAAGTAACTGGCAGAGTAATAGTGGATTCATGTGCTTTGCATGGTACCATTAGTAAGGAGTCCTTACGCTAGCCATAACAAGGTGCCTTGTAAAGGAATGGCCTTCTTTTTCCCCATTATACAGCAGCAAATGCCATAATCTTGTTAACATTATTTTGACATTGAAAAACCTACATGTTCTTGTTTTGTGTGACATTACTTTATGGAGTCTCTGTTGCATTATATGCATGCTTACACACAAGTCTGCTCCAGTGTTTTCTATAACAACTGAAAAGCCTTAGAACCATCAGTAGTGGTTAGAATGTGTTTACAGTGACTTTCAAGGAAATAAATAAATTCTATATAATTATTTATTCTATATAATTATTTAATTGTATAATTTCATTTATGCTCATCACCACAGTATCTGTGTTTATGTTTGCTGCGTGCTGCAGCAAAAGCATCAAAACAACAGTTTTAGACCTGTAAATATAGACACATGACATGGATTATATTTGAGAGAACATAAATATGACTCTTTTGTTGCTTCTGACTGTTTGGACAATCTTCCATAAACAAAACGTGGATGACTGAACAGCGCTAGTCTGAACATGCCTGTTTAGGAGAGTTTTGTAATAAACCCCTCTTTTCTCAGGGAGATGCTTATGCCTTAGGCTCTCTGCAGTAAGAAACAGAATCTAATTTTCATAACTTGAGGGAGCTCAGATTCTGTTTTTCAGTTTAGCTCATTAAGAGCAAGAGAGATCCAACTCTAAATATAACCAAACAGGGTAGTGCATTCATACTGGGACTTGATTAAAACCTACCTCACTTTCTTGTCTAGGTATGAGCAAACCAATATAAGTAAAATAGGGAGCCTCTCTGAAAGGCTCTGACATAAATAAGGATGGTTATGGCAGCAATGGTTATGGGAATAGTACTAATAGTATTGCACTGACAGCTCATATTTAGTTTGCTCCTTTGGACTACTTTCTATGAAGCTGACCCAGTTTATACCTATGTTGCTTCTGCTTTTCTGAGCATAGCATCCATTTATCAAGTCAGAATTCAGACCACTGTTTTGCATTCTGCATCAAACATTACTTTGAAATCCTCTTTCACATTCTGCATTATCATCTTTAGACTTTTAAAGCCATATTCTGAGTAAATTATAAGATCTTGTATACTAAATGACTGGTTTTAACTTTTCCATTTAACCTATTTTTATTATTATTTAAATCTCATATTCAGTAATGATTTTATTCAAAGGACAGCATAATGTATATGCACTGTGCTCTGTGTAAAAAATAAATCCTATAAAACTGCACAATATCACTGGGCATATCACTAATTATTACAATGAAAATATTAAAGAACAAGAAAATGTGATAGTTTTCAGCTAGATGATATTGAAAAGTTCTTCAGGTTGTTTGTTTGTCACTTAGAGCATAATACTGAGTCAAAAGCAGGTATGTGGTATATTTTGTTGTTCTACCTGCACAGGAATTCTGAGTATTCTAGTCTGTAAATCTATGCCTGCCCAGCCATGAGCTAATCACAGAGGCAGGAGTATCACAATGGAAAGTCTAAACACATGTTAGCAGCTGGAAAAAAGTATCTGCTCCATTTTCAAGTCCTTACCTGTTGGTATTAATGAGAAGTGTAGATATCTTCGGAGACAAATGACACTTTTAAGGATAAATATTAATTGCAGCAGCTGCTATATTTCATCTTTTATAGGTTACAGAGAGAAACTTTCTATTTACATAGATGTGGAGACAGGTGAGCAGGAGTCTTAGCTGAGGGTAAACAAAGGTTAACTGATTTTGCTCACATATTAAGCTCACTCCCTTCTCTCTGGAACACGTAGCAAGTAAGTTTCATCCTCTGTTTTAATTTATGTGGCTCTATGTGCGTATGTACACGTGCAGATATGGGTTTGGACTGATGTCCTATCTTTTCAATTGTTTCTCTTTTTCTTTTTTCCACCTCAGTGACAGTAGTGCTGTGTAACATTGTAACACCAGATCATTACAAGAAAACTATTTTGGGACTGTGTTCATTGCAGTCCGGGATCTAATTGTCCAGGCCTAAGGCAGTATCTGTACAAATGCTCTAAAGAAATATCACTGGAAACAGCCCAAAAGAGATTTACCCAGGTAGTGAGTGGTCATGTTCATACTACATCAGGGCACAGGCTTGTCCATGTACTTGCCCTATGGCAACAGGGTTATACTTAGAGCTGGATTGAGACGTTGTTACACTCAAACTCCTGTTATGGGCAAAAGGGAACATAACATATAAATGAAGCTAAGAATGTATTTTTATTTGAATTAAAGTTTTAGTGGTATAACAGCCTGAATTAGACAATTAAATGTCATGGTCCTCAGTGCATCAGTAGGTTTTAATTGCTTTGACCTCCACCCATGTCCAGGAGCTGCAGTTGAGCTCCTTGCCTGAATTATGCTGTAGATGTGTTTGTGCTCAGCTCTATACCTAGCTTGGTTTTGCTTGTTGCTTTGTGTATCTCAAATCATCACTAGACTGCAATCATAATCATCCTCCCTAATTTTCTCAGGTCTATGTTTCTGTTGGAATGAATTCTGTCCCTCTGTGCATTGTTGTTCCCATATTGTTCTCTACTGTGGAGCAGCCAATAATCCTAACCTTTTACATATTCCCTAAGGTTCTTTCTTAGAGGAGATCAATAGTCATTTGCCCAATCTGATGTCAGGATATGACTGTGACTTACATTGTGCAAGAAACAGTCCACGGACATTCTCTAACCCTCCTTCACTTCCTGTACACTTAAACAGGCACTTAAAACATCCAGAAATCCCTTGAGTAATAGTTTTTGCTGTGAAAAATAGTTGAATAGATATGCCCCCAGCCTGGGCTTTTATAACCCTGATAAGGCATCAACTGCTACAGCATAGGCAGCTGATGAAGAATCAAGGCATAGAGATGCACCTTACCTTTTATAACAGCAGCAAAATTGCATATTTTCTACCCAAGCTTTATCCATCCTCCTTCAGACTGGAATGGCTCAGCAATCTGTGCTGCTCTCCATCTGTGCCTCAAGATACAACAAAGAACGGAACTATCATGAAGACTCTGTTAACATGCTGATATGAATTCTTTCAGCACTTGCATGTTAAGTATATTACTAGGTTTTATAGGATGAAAATAAAGATCAGGAAGAGAAAAAGTAAATGCTTTAAGGAAGACTAATCTACAATGGTTACTGAGTGAGACATGTTTGAAATCAGCAGCTCAGTAAAACATCTAATATTCACTCCCAGATGCTGCCACCTAGAGTCTAACATTATGACATTGTAAACACAAGAATAATAGAGTAACTTTCAAGCAAAAATATTGTATTTGTCTGGAGGTGGAGGTATTGGTATTCAGGGGAGTATGTGACATGAAGAAGTGAAAGAGCAGACAAGCAGGCAGAAGGCAATCTTAAACTTGAATTTTGTAAGTGTCTTCCTTCTGTTCTGGTCAAAATCAGATCTTATACTGAAAGGTAGAACAGGGGAACTTAGCATGAGAAAGCAAATTGGAGCTGCTATTCTGTACATTTATCAGAATACTTAAAAATATATTTATTTCCATTTCAATTTCCATGTCTGAAAAACAATGATCAGCAGAATAAAAGATATTCTAGTTGAGCAGCCTTGCCTTCAATTTTGTTGAAAAAGACTGCCAGTTCTCAAATAAAGTCTTAAAGGAAGCATATTTAAGCTTCTCTCTCTCCATCAGTAGAATATTGCAGAAGACAAAATATCCCCATGAGGCAGCCTAACTGGAAATCCAAGGCAGCCTGGAAAATGAGCTATCCTGCTATGCTTTAGAAATTGCAAACAGCAGCAACCTAGTTTCTCAGCTAACCTGAAGGACCTGGCAGTATTTGCTACAAGATGCCTAATTCGGTGCCTGGACTCTCACACTGCATGTAATTTGTTTAGAAATGAGCTATGAATCTAAGTCTCAATTTACTCAACAAGATATGGTTTGATTAAATGTGTCCAGATGCATTTGTAAAGGGATTATAGATTTCAATTAGGAGTAAGCAACAACCATTAGAAGATCATACTTTTTCATACATACTTTAACAAGCGGAATTGGGGCAAGAAATAAGAGTATGATAGAAAAGTCTCTCACTTCTTTCTCCCCTCCACTGCATAGTTACTGCTTCTTCACACTCAAGTGCTGTTTTCTTTCAAGTTCATCTTATTGCCCTTTCCTTTCTCTTTGTTGGCCTGTTGTCAAATCAATGGTTTCTAGTTCCACTGAGCTCTAAAGATGGTTGTGGTCCCAGTAACAGGCTGATCTGCAACTCTTTTGCTTGCTAGTGAATGACAGCAAACAGATCCTTACTATATTTCATTGATCCAGAAGGGTTAAGCCAATTATTTCCATGTTGTTGGTTGGGGTACTGCTTGACTGAACTAACCACCACTCCCTTACCTTGTTTTGTGTCTATGCTACATGGTGGAGAACAGGCTTGAGAAGACAAGTGTCTGCTCAGTGTCTGATCAGTGAGCCCCACCATCCTCACAGATGGTGGCAGCTGAAAAAGCCAACTCCCAGTACCTCCTGCTCAATAGGTTAATAAGCCTCACTTGCACCTACTTTGTCAAACTGCATCTGAAAGAGTCATATTGCAGAACCATGCACAGGAGGATTCTCTGAGCACTAAAGACTGATTTGGCCCCTTTGTGTAAAACTAAAGGGATTATTTACTGCACAGGCTGCAATCTGTTCCCTTCTAATGAATGGACTCATACCTCTGCTGCCTGCAGCAGAGACTACTGTCACAGAGACGTGCCAAAGTGCAACTTGAAGCCGTGCTGCTAAATTTTCTTTCCACCAAACAGGATTACCTCCTTCAAAATGGAAATGCTCCCTGGCTATACTGCTCTCCAGACTATGTCCGGGAAGTCTGAAAAGCTGTCACCTGACATGGGCCAAAATCATGCTAGAAAGAGTGTTAATTGTGCTGGACCTTACTTGGATCTGTGCCCTGGTCTTGAGTAGTTTTGTGTCCTCAGAGAGCAGGAACTCCAAACAGTGATGGAAATAGGTATGAAACTGATTCTGAGCAGGATGCTGGTTCTTTGGTTAGAAATATTATTTTAAGTGCCCTAATTCCTCTTGTGAGAAAATAAGAATCCTGAATGAGAAGTGAGAGCAAAGGTAAGAGGTGTTCTCACAAAGGTGAGAACAAGATAAATCAGCTTATTCTACCTGTTTCCTTCTAGGGGTGTTATAAAAAACCATTACTGAAATTAATAATAATCATTTGTGACACTCAAGAGAGTAAGGTTCTAACACGTTTTACAGGTATGTTCTCAGAAAGTCCATTCAGTCCCATACGATATCTCCCAGGGATTGCAAGGAATGGGACAGGGAAGATAGCTCTTTATGTTAATAAACTGCCAACAAATCACCTCATACTTTCCTTCCTTGCCAGAACTGGCTGAAAATGGGATGTCAGAGAGAGCAGCTTTCCTTTCATCTTTCTCAATTCCTCCTAATCTCTTGAAAAATAGCTCCTTAAGAGTACTAAATGTAATAAATCATGTGGGCTATATAAGAATGTATATATATATACACACTTATATTCCTGACAAAAACAATATTGCCACTCCCATTTCAGACAGTCACATCCCACTTTGAGGGCTATATATACCCTGAAGCACAACAGATATGTCTGCTTGGTTATGCCACTTACCTGAAGCACTCTTCTCCTCACTGTCTCTTGGTGATCAGCTAGCTGTATAATGTGCATCCTTACAAAGTGTATAAATGCCCACAAGGAAATTTAAAGGACATGGCTCTTCATTCTAAATAACAGGTACACCTAAGAATGGAGAGGAGGCAAACTGAATAAAAAGAAGTTAGAGTGGACAATGATTGATGCACATATCTGGGTAGAGTTACCTTTTCTCCTCATCTACCATTGTGGTGGTTTGTGATGTCTACTATTATATAGACATCTGACCTGTTAATGTTATGGTCAGTCAATGCACATGCTCAGATTCTATTCCAATCTACAAAGCCATTCTGCATAAGTTTGCACTGTATTGGAAAACTCCATCTGCACACATCACCAATGCACTGGCCAAACAGTACGGAAATGACTCACAGGCAATGCACTACTTAAAATTTTGCCAAACGGGGCAAGGATTGGAAATTTTGTTGCATCTGCCATAATATTTAGGTCAACTTTCTCTTCTGCTAGGGAAAGCAAACAGTCTTCCAGACCAGATGAATTCAAAAGGAAATCTCACAAATTCTGCCCATTCATTCCATTCACATATTTCTATTCACTAGTTACAGTTCCTCACTATTTTATTTCTATCCTTTAGCGTAAGAGTTAGGTGCCGCTTTGCACCAGTGTTTCCAATAGTTATTACCAACCCATGTCATTGAGTAGACTGCTAAGATCAAACCCCTTTTCTACAAGAACAGCACAAAAATACGGAGATTCTTATCCTGCACTGATCACCTGGTCTCTTGCTAATCCTTATTTGATGGAGCCCTAGACTGAGTGCACATTTAATTCTTTTAAAAGTACAGAAAAATATTAGTAAAAAAAAAAAGTTGGAGTTTACAGTATAGATAGAGAAATGAAAAACCGACTGAGGAAAGGACAAGAGAAAGTGAGAAACACAGGTAACAATTCCAAAGCCTCACAGCGGACTCACATGAGGAACTGACATTAACTGTAGCAGGAAGGAGCTGACTATATCCCAGAGACATCTCTGATTACATCAGCAAATGAGAGAATGAGAGGACAAAGAGCTGATGGGTTGGAATGACCTGAGGTAAATTTATCCTGAAAATCAGTTTGTACAGGAAATAAATTTTAAAGATATAGGTATGTTTCTGAAAAGCACCCACCTCTGTGCCATTTTTCAGGATCACAAAACACATGATGTTAAAGGTACATTAGGCACAATTGTCACAGGTAATAAGCAAAACAAGATTTAGTTAAATATAAAATTATTAGACCAGACAATATCACTGAAAATATTTCCTTCAGAGGGTATTTATTAAGTTTTTAATTTAAATTGCAATACTGTTTATAATAGATGCTCCATATTCAGTCCTTTTCTCCAGAGTTAAAACTAAGAAACAGAGAAGTTTGATATGATTCAGACAGTGATAGGATTAAAATGTAAAATCCAGAAGGTAGCTGCCTGGGAGAATTAAATGTCAGCAGTCATGAGCAGTGGTAAAGTCTTTTCACAACACAGACAAGTTTTAATGCTTTAAAATGGAATACATTCAAGTGTTAGGTGAGGGGTTTGGAAGGTCTTTGTGGGTTTGGTTTTTTACAATGTTTTTTTGAGAAAACAGAAAGTATTTCTAAGACTGCATCCTGGAGGAAATATTCATTTCCCTACATCTCACAGGATCAGAGAAAGGAGTATCAGGACTGTGTTCTCAGAAACTCATTTGCTTCCACCGAGCAATGCCAGTACTACTGTATTCCATGTGGCAGTTCTTTAGAAACTCAGACGACCCATATTTATTTCAGCACATCATTTTTTAGTGCTGCTCTAGGTAACAGTTTTGATCTCTAATTCCATGTGTGGTTAAAAGCTATTGATGTTATCATATTTTTCATATTTCAGTTGAAATCTACTAAACCAATAGCCACTGTGGTGTGTTTCCTGGATGCACAGCTGGGTTTTTTCAGCAGTTAGCCTTTGCAACTTACCCTTGACTCAATGAAGCTGAAAGACATCTGACTTTCAGTTAATAGAGTGAGGCAGAGAGCATTTTTCAAGGTATTGGAAGGCAATCTCAGCAGGATTATAGGCATACAAAAGAAAACATTGCTGTGCTTTCTTCAGAGAGACAATTAATACCTTATGTAGTGAGGACATTTCACGGACCTACACTCCTCCACCCTACCCCCAAGGAAAGGGTTTAACTGCCTAAGTGGCTAGAAAGGCAGAGGCAAATCCTAGTCTGGGTTTACAAAGCCATTAGCCTCTCAGTAAGTCTACACCTGTAATACTGTGCTTAATGTGGGCCCACGTGTTCATATTTAAACTAGCTACATAAAGGACTGTTTTCTTAACATGTCCCTATTAAAGCATTTTAATTGTTCTTTACCTCACATGCCAGCTACTTGCAAAGATTACAATATCTTAGCACAGTTATTCTTTTCTTATATTCATGCTTGCTTTGATTCTTTATTCAGCAGAGGACTGACGAACAGGAGAACAATGTTAGTGCCTTCTGGGCTTGCCATAAGGGAAACTGAGATGATAAGTGTAATATTCCCAAGAAGCACTCTGTCAAGAACTGAAATATATAAAAAAGAGTGACCAACTTTCTGCTCTAGGCCAGCTGTGCCTCTTCAACACTCACAGCTTTACTACTGCTGACAATGCAGTACAAACAGGGAACAAACAGCACTTGCATGCAGAGCATCTCTTGTACATCTTGTGTAACTGTACGCTGCATGATCCATAACAATTCAGTCCCGCTGGGAAGCATGGACAAAATACACCATTTCAGAAATTACAAATTCTGACTTTTGATCCAAAGGAACTTCTGTTACAGATCTTGCATTTTAAATGATCTGTTTTCTGGAGTTGTAAATCTTTCCATCATAGTAATACAAAATTTTGCCCAACACATGTGGTCTCAGATTTCCCTTTCTATTCCTCTTATACAATGTCAGTCCATTTGATTTGGTGGTCATACTAGTCACCTCTGAAGTTACTCTTCTCAGGCAGCTGATTAGCTACGGAGAACACAAGAAAAATTAAAACAGCAAAAAAAATCCTGAAAGGGAATAGGTTCACTCTGGGATCTTTTATTTTATTTAAATAAACAATGCAATTTAGATTACAGAATGGGAGAATCCAAGCTTTGGCTCCAATTTCCAGATGCTACTTCAAGCAGCAAAGCAAATGTGTTTAAGTGGATAACTCCTTTGATTTAAGAATTAACTTATAAATTTAAAAATGGTGTTCATTTTCCACTACTTTCAATCAGTCTTCACTATTGTGAATTTATTTTCTATAAAACAGATCTGTGAGTTTCTGAAATGTCTTGGAATGAAAAGCTGTACTATCAGTGTCATGCTGCAGCTACTCTAATTCATTGGCATTTATTTTACACCATTCTTCTGTGCAAAATCCAGGAGTAAAGTAATGGAACTTATTTATAAACCATCCATGATGCTATCAGTTCAATAGTTACAAAACGTGACTTTTATTTCTGTGCATTCTGCTTTCCAATCTTTTAAAAGATTATTGCCTCAGAAACCTGAAAGCTGCATTCTTGTCATGTAACATACACACCTCATAGCCCATTGCAGAATAATCAGAGTTTTATACAAGCATATTTAATTCATTGGCACACATATTTTCCTTCATTAGGTATTTCATACTTCATTTCATAAGGTTTTTTACTACATGGAACTAGAATGCCTGGCTTTAAAAAGTCTAGATTCCTGATTTCATTAAATAAAATTTGTTGCAAGGAGAGGAAGAAAGGTTTAAAGAAGTCATAGCTGATTTCTGAGATTTGAAATCTGCAGCAAACAGATCTGAGTTTATTATATGGCACTTGAATTGAAATATCAAATTTTGACTATACAATTAGGATTCTGTGAACTCCACTTCATTTTTTTTCTCCATTTTTTAAAACTCCATTCCCTAAGACTTCTCCCACAACATGATTTTTACCTCCACATAATGGTGGGTTGACCTTGGCTGGATACCAGGTGCCCACTGAGCCACTCTATCACTCCCTTATGCAGCTGGACAGGGGAGAGAAAATATAACAAAAGGCTCAGGGGTCAAGATAAGGACAGGGAGAGATCACTCAGCAGTTACCATCATGGGAAAACCAGATGTGACTTGAGGCAATTAGTTTCATTTATTACCAATCAAATCAGAGTAGGATAATGAGAAATAAAAACAAATCTTAAAACACTTTCCCCCCCCGTCCCTTCTTTCTGAACTTAACTTTAGTCTCAAATTCTCTACTTCCTCCCTGTCAGTGGCTCAGGGGCAGGGGAAATGGGGGCTGTGGTCGGTTCATCACATGTTGTCTCCGCTGCTCCTTCCTCCTCCAGGAAGGATTCTTCACACTCTTCCCCTGCTCCAGTGTAGGGCCCCTCCCATGAGAGACATGAACTCTGTGAACTTCTCCAATGTAAGTCCTTCCCACAGGCTACAGTTCTTCACAAACTGCTCTAGTGTGGGTCCTTCCCATGGGATGCAGTCCTTCAGGAACAGACTGCTACGGTGTGGGTCCTCCAAGGGGTCACAAGTCCTGCCAGCAAACCTGCTCCAGCGTGGGCTCTTCTTTTCATGGGTCCACAGGTCCTGACAGGAGCCTGCTCCACCTTGGGCTTCCCATGGGGTCACAGCCTCCTTCAGGAGGATCTAATCAGTGTATATAAATATCTGAAGGGAGGGAATGAAGAAAAGGGAGTCAGGCTGTTCTCAGTGGTGCCCACTCTTAGGATAAACTGTAATACAAGGGATTCCATCCAAAGAGAAGAAAAAAATCTTTTTATTCTAAGAATGGCCAAACCAGATGACCTCAAGAGGTTTCTTCCAATCTTAACAATCCTGTGACAACAGCTGCCACTGAGACGGTGGAAAATGTCTTCAAAAAGCAGTCTTTAAAAAGCAGTCTGGAGTTCCTCTGCTGTTTTTATTTTTACAGTCCAGAACCATGAATTCCATGAAATCTGGCATATTACTTAGACCTTAATTCCATGCATTTCATTTTTTATTCTTGGAATAATATCAACCTCCATAACTCCAATTTCATGGTTTCTGAGTAAACATAAGGAGTGAACCAAAAAGGCTTTAAAACAAAAAGGCAAATAAAGAACTCAAAACATATTTCTTCAATAAAAAAACAAATTAAAAAATATAGATAGAAAGCAAAAACTCATAATTCTGGAGCTAAGCTCAGGTTTTGCTGAACATTAGGGACAACTATTGCTCACTTGATTGCCACGGAAGTTAACTGCCAAGCCTCTGTTTGTGGCTCTTGTTTGCAGCACTCCAGTCACTGCACTCCTGAAATGCCAGTTAAAAAGCAAACAGGAGCCAGGCACAATCATCTCCCACTCTTGTGCAAGACCTTCCGCCAGCAGGTTCGTTCTTGTAAAATGAAACACGACCACAAGGGCCTCATGGCCACAGCTCACTTAGCGCATTAACACCATTACCGCCACGTGCTCCTTCTGCCCATGCTGACCTCACAGCAAACTCAAGTAAAATCACAGGGAGATATTGGTTACAAATTAAATAGACACTTCCCAATTTCACCTGGGGTGACAGTCTCCATGAGTGCTGAATAATCAAACTCAATACATATCTTCCTTCTCCAAAATGCATTTAAGCTGTTCTAAGCAGTTTTATTGTGGAGTCTCATGGCTGAGTAATGGACAAACTTGAACCATTTCCTGTGATACTGCTTTGGAGGGAATACCAAAAGACCAGCAGAAACATCTACCATCTGTAAGCTAAATCTGAGTGTTCAGTGTCATTGCAGGTTTGATGAAAAGCTCAAGAGCCTGTTAGCACATCTGCAGAAGTCCACATTCCAATTACAAAAGGGAAGATTAATATCACCAACTCCAGTGAGCTGGAAGTTAGTTGACTACTTCAAAACGAGTAGTCCTTAAGCCCTATATGCATGAAGAGAACAAATGAGCACCTTCAGAAGATAATTCATCTCATCCTAAACCTGGTGTTTTAGACAAAATGAATCACTCTCTGCTGACACTTGAGTCACTTCGCTGACTATAAAACTCAGTGTTTAAACTTAGACAACTACTCAGATTTTAAGTCAGATAGGATGAAGGTTGCATAAAACATCTATTTTCTGAACTCTGTTATCTATATAGCCATTTTCATTGGGAATATCTGTTCAGAGACACCTAGAAAGCAAGTTTCATATGTTAATATGTTGAGCTAAAATAGAACAGTTGTTCTGCTTGAGGATGCCTATAATTTCAGAGGCTTGATGCTGCTCTAAGTTGAAACAAACAAAAAAATAATACAAAATTCACTCTTTGAAGTCTTTCTCCGAAAATACTTTTATTTGAGTCTGTTTAATTAGTTTTCTAGAAAGATGTTAAAATTCACTTTTTCAAATAATTTTATTGTTCAGTTCACAAAAGAAAAGCCAAAGTGTACAATTGGTTGTTTAACTTACACATGTAAACAGATTTTGGTAAAAGCAGTCAGGAAATGGATTAGCAAATAGTATGCAAGAACACAAGCAGAAACATTTGGGCTACTGCGACTTGGCAGGTTACCACGCAGGACACATCTCCTGTGGTGATCCTGACCCTGGATAGTTTAGACAACTGAGTCTCATTTCCCCTAGAAAATTCCAGTTGAAAACCAGTTCAGTTGTTTGCCTCATCATTCACATCTCGAGGTAGTTACAGAACCTCGCCATTCTGGTTGTCTGGGATTTTTTTTGCCAAATTTGTCTCCAACTTAATTATAGCTTTTTTTTATATGTCATATTTTTAATTCCTGATTAAAGGCTCAATCATATTTCAGACTTTTAAAAGCAAAGACAGATCCTTTTTGTAAAACAGACCCTCCATTCCCTTGTCCTCATAACATGTACCTACAGGTCTTACAGGATTTTTTTCCTTTTTTTTTTTTTTTTTAAGCTTGGACAGTTAGAATTGTGCATGATTCTGATAACCATTGTCTTTCATTAACCATTTTCTGCAGCATCAACACTCCCATCTTTACCAGAAATATCTTATCTGAAGCATCCTTGCGTCATACTAACACTTTTCACAAATATTACATATTTTTAGGTCACACTGATTCTGTAGTAGACTAATTCAACTAAAGTGTTACGGCGACACAAACACTAATGCTCATAAATTAAGTCAGTCTGTAAATCAGATGAAATAATCTAGATAGACTGACTCCAAAACAGCTTTGCAGATGGATGAGAGAACAACCCAATTACTATTTGTATTTTGAAATAAGGAACATGTGGTCACCTGTGAAGCGATGTGAGAGAAGGCAAACCAGTGATCCAAAGTTTCTATTCTCATTCAGGGCTGAAAGCAGCCCAAGGAGGATGGGAGAGAAACTACAGCCAAAAGCCTCTTCCCCTTTAAAGTGATGGAAACCACAGGGATCAAAGGGGCAATTTCAGGGGTGAAGAGGTGACAGAGAGACAGGCAGGCAGGCTTGAAACCTGGTTCCTTCATTTCCATTAAAATTCCCCCTCCTATGTGAAATACAGAATGCTGTATTTATATGAAGTACTCTTCCATTTTATGGCAATAGACTTTCAGCACCTTTAGTACCTGAATTTACACTGTGCCCTGAGCTGGCACTTCTGCTGATGTTTCAGTGCCTGTCAAGAACATGCAGAATCTCAGTTCCCTATTTCAGGATGGGATCAATGACAGCTCAACTACAACATAGGCCTAATAAAGATCACATCAAACTATGAAAATATACTACTGTGAAGTTTTCTGGGGATGAAAATATCTGGTGTTCTTTTTATTTGCATATTTGTCAATACTGCATTTTGAAATTATATTCAAAATAAATCTGTACTTCCTTTCTATCTTTATGGGCTTTTATTTTCTTCCTCTGATCTTAATTGCTACTGAAGTCTTTGCTTGGCATTGGATTTTGACCTTAAAAGTTTCTCTGTTGCATTTGATCACATAAATGCTTGTTTATTTATGCAACAGCATATATTTTATATTGTTTGCAATATTTTACAAGGACTTCTGGCTCACTACAAATAAAAATTTTATATACTACTTCAATGCTCTGTTCCATGACAGCTCAGTATATCAGAGTAAGATATACTTAATGCTTGCAGTGTCTCAGCATGACATGCTATGCTCTTACTGACAAATTGGTCTTTTATTTAGCATTAATCAAAATATTCAGTGGAATGACAAAATATGGGTATTTACAGTGGCTTTTGTTCTTTTCAATTTGTTCTACAAATACAGATACAAACATCTGATTTTTCACTGGTCATATGACTGAAACCTGCAGGAATACATGCCTCTTCCCCTGAATTATGTTCTAAGATCAGGTCAAACAAATGGTCACTTTAAATTCTGTATACTACATTTAACCTCAGAAAAGATTAAAGGGGATTTGGTTCAAAAACAATGCAGGGATTCGCTCATTTAAACATTTCACTACATTTAGTCTTTTAAGCTATCTTTGCCAAGAAAGAATATAAACTAAACTTAATACTTTAAAGCTTAGAAAAATTCATTACCACTAAAAATGTATTAACAAAAAAGAAAAGAGTTACTTAAAACAGTAAAAAACCTGATACTGAATATAATTTTATGAATACCTGTCTGAACCAGATGCATAAAGCATACAAACAAGGCAGCTGCTGATGCATTTAGTACTCATTTGTGAGACCTTCCATATACACGTGTTGTTTCATACCCTGTGTCTATAAATATTTGGCTCAGAGAAGACTTTATTATTGATATGAATATTCACTGCCAAGAAAGAACCAAATGAATACTAAATCTCTCCTATCTACAGTTAGGTAGGTAATCACACTAACTAATTGAAAGTATGCTGTTTCCTAACTGAACCAATTATGCAGAAAAGGCTGTGTAAGGTTGAGCTAAGCACCCTCCCACTAGCACAGCCACCATGCAACATGACAGGAACAAAGAAAAGAGTACAGTGAAAAGCGAACCATTCTGTTATTTATAACTGTGCATTAAAAAGGGACAGTGAAAATGAAAAAAAAGCCAAAGCTGCCCATGGCACACACAGCCAGGGTGAAAATCCTTCCAATGTAAGTCCAATAATCAGTTATCATTTAAAAAAAGCTTGGGCTTTATCCTGCCAGTTTTCTCTGATAAAGGAAGGGGTTATTAAACACCTGTTCCTTCATCAGAGTAATCCTTCTGAATCACCAAATCAAAATTGTTACTTAAATTTTGAATATCAGCACAATAAAAAGCAAATGAGATGTGAGGGAACCTTTTTGATTGCTAAAATCAAAGTAAGCACATTAATGAGCAAAACCTGACAGCTAAACCTTTTAAATTCACAAACTCATGTGTTTGGTAGGAAAAGGTGACCAGCAAGTTATGAAGATAATATGACAAATATGGAATGAAAGAACCATTTAAAAAATGTAATTTATACGCCATTTCATTTAGTTTACAAACTATTTTCAGACATCCTATTACACAATTATTTACTCATTTCCACCTGCATCATTTCTACTTTTTCATCATAACAGTGGTTACACCACTATTTCCTGCCTTTATGTTAATAAATTCCCTATATCAAAAACATATAGTCTGCACACAGTCCAACTGCCCTCTAAATATCAGCTAGATTCAATTCACAGATTAAAAAGGTGTGGCACTGCTCTTTCTGAGTGAATGGAAAATATACTATGCATATCAGAATTCCTCTAATTCACTTTTTATGCCAAACGAAAAGTTTTCTGATAAACCACACCTCTTAGGAACTTTGTTCTCTATTTTGCCTTACTCATTCTTTCTATGAATTTTCTATGAACTGCTAAAAATACTTGATGTGGTCAAAAAAATGCACATACTATAACTATTATATTATTACATTAATATTAGAATACAAAATTTCATAATGTACTTTATGTCATGCAGACAGCATTGATTCATTTTGACAGGATTAATAACCTCATCATTTGCTTTTATTGTCCCCAGTAAAGACAGGGTAATTAATATTCCCAGAGCGAATCGATGCAATTCTGTGCATGGCCTTCATAAGAAAGGCTTATTTGCTTTGCTTTGTGTCAATGAAATATAGCCATAAATCCATATTATAATAATTATGAAAAGGTTTATTTAAACTTTCACTATCATTAAAGCTACAAAAAGCTTCACACCTTTTTTATATACCTGCAACAATGAAACAAAAGCATTTCTGTTACTGTGGTGGATCTGAAATCAGTGAACTCAGGAGTACTGCAGTAAATTAAATGATATCAACTTTATTTTTCAGCATCATCCCCATTGCATAAAACAGATGCAAATAACATTAGTGCTCAGTTAACTGCAAGAGGTTTGTGCATGTTTAGTAAAACGAATCAGCTACTATCTTTTTAAAAGAAGATTTAACTTAATCTATTAGCTGTCTAACGAAAATTGATTTCTGCAGAAAAAAAATAAATCTGAATTGTTACTTCAATAGCAATTAGGTATAGAAAATATTAATGCACATGTTGTGCATGTGTACATACATCTCCAAAGAAAAGGGTCCTTATAAAATTTCTTTTACTGAAGACTCAAAACAGAGCCCGCAATCTGGAAATATCTATATGCTTACAACTCTTCTGTATTTATATGAATATCTGGCAACTGTGGCTTGAACTCAAGTCATACACAGAAGCGAAGGTCCACCATTATATTTCACTTTTGGATCTTAACTACAATGCCCAATTTGGCCAGTCCAAAGACAGATTCAGACTTTAGCTGAAAGGGAATCTCCGTAGCCTGCGGACTATACGCATAATTAAAGCACTTCAGATACATTCAAGGCTAGGTAGGAGGAATCCAGTTTTAAGTTCTCAGTTCTTTTTCTTGATGGTCCCTATGGTAGCCTGTTTCTATATAATTTTCATAAAAATAGCCCCCACAATTGCTATCACATTTTTCCCTATCCTTCCAATACACTATTCATTCCACAGAAATATGTCTAAATCGAGGATATGGCTAAGCAATTTTCCTCGCTGTCTTCTTTGGCTGTGGAGGAAGACAGGCACCTCCCTCCTGTGAGTAATGAGCGAACTCGGTTTAGATGTATGTTTTAGGAAGAGCTTCACAACAATTTGAGGAGCGTGTCTTGCTGCCTATGAAGGCTCCAAGGCCAGACCTCAACAGCGAACCTCAGATGTCTAAGCGAAATGAATCCTGCGTCTAGTTTCTCATTTCAGAGAAAATGACCAGTAAAACTGAAGCCACGGACTTATCCCTCCATAAACATGCTGTTACAACTTACTATGCCAGTACCTTGCAAAATATTTGTTCGCACTATTTAAACTGCACCCAGCATGACACCAACTGTGCCAGCAAGATTTTCCCGTGACTTTTGGCAGGCAGAGTCACAGCGTGATGCTCGGTGTCAGTGAAAATAGTGGTTACGCAAGAAATATGGAAGAACAATGGCATAGCCTGAGCAGCATGGACGCCTTTCCCGGTGTTGGGCAGCTCGCAGTCTCCTACTGCTGTCCCGCGGGGACAGTGCCGTGCACTGATGGCTGAGACTGCCTCTCCTTGCCCTGGGGCGGGAGCACTCCCTGAGCAGTGCCCTCAGTCATCGCCACAGACAAGCCAACTTCATGGAACAGCCGAAAAGGCCTTTAACTCGGTGCAGCTCTGGTCTCACGTATATAGAGATTTGGTTTGCTCCTCGCTGTGTAACAGCGGTGTTGCTAAATGGAGACACTAGTGACCTCATAACTCACTTGCACTTTAAATTTCATTTCGGTTTCCCGCAACGGCGGCTCCAAAGGCAGCTCGCATTTCCACAAACACGCTGAAAGCCCGGCTCACATCTCAGGCCCACCTTAAGCACTCCCCGCCCCGCCGGACAGGCCGCTCTCAGGCCGGCGCTGCTGACAACACCGTATGTCTGCTCCCGTGGCCACCTCCGCTAAGCTCCAGCTCCTGGAGTTAGGCTCGCGTGGAGAAACCACTTTTTTTCCCCCTTTTTCCGTGTTTTGCTGTTTGTTTATTTGTTTGTGTTCGATACGGCGGCCGTGAGGAGGCGCGCGGGCGGCTCCGGCCCGCCAGGCGGCGCTGCGGGCGGAGGTCAGTGCCCGCCCGGTGCCCGCCGCCCGCCCGGCCGGGGCTGACGTGTCCGGCGCGGCGCGATGGCGGCCGCCTGGGAGGAGATCCGGCGGCTGGCGGCCGATTTCCAGCGGGCGCAGTTCGCCGAGGTGGCCCACAGGTGAGCAGGGCGGCGCCGGCACCGCCGCCGAGCCCGCCGCCCGTCGCTGCGGCCAGTCTGCCGCCGCCCCCTCCCCGCGCCGGCCGCGCTCCTTTCCCGCGCCGCCCGCACGGCCCCCGGCCCGGACACACCTGGGGGACTCAGCCGGGCACGGCTCCTCCGTAGTTCCCCTTGTGCTGGTGCTTGTGAGCCCCGAGGGGCAACTGGGACCCCACAAGGTACGTGCGGGCCCAGGAAAGCGACTGGGTATGTTCAAGCTGCTCGACATGAGCGCATCTCCAGTGCTTTGTTTCTTCTTTGTGTCTGGCTGACCAGTCGACTTGTTGCCCAGAACTTGTTCTTATTAAAGAGAAAGAAAAATAAATCCCGAACGCGCAAGATAAAATAGAAACGGACAGAAGGATGAAAGACACGAATTGTTTAAGCACAACCATTCCAAAATTCACCAGCAGGTGCATTCTGTCAGCTGGCGGGGCTGACAGCTGTTCAGGAGGAGACTAAAAGTTGTTCTGGAGAGATGACCTGAGTAAGTGAAGCCATATGGATGATTTGCTGCGTGATAAAACGGATTCAGGCAGTAGGGGTTTTGTCTGAAAAAGTATATTCACACAGAACAGCGAGTAATCTTCATTGTACTTCCTGTACTTAGTATTTTGGGAACATCAATTTAAAGATAATTTTAGCAAGTACTTACTTAGAATAACTGCTTATTCTTTGTGCTGTTGATAGATTGTCAGAACGGAACTGTATAGAAATTGTCACTAAACTGATTGCAGAGAAGCAGTTGGAAGTAGTGCACACACTTGATGGCAAGGAGTATGTCACTCCAGCACAGATTAGTAAGGAGATCCGGGATGAGCTTCATGTTTGTGGTGGTAAGTGTGGCATTTGGTTTCTTCCTTTGGATTTGGAAGTTAATTTTGAAGACTACAGAAAGAGCTTGAAAGTTTTCAGTAGCCTTAATCTTTCAGGAAAAGTCAGCTCGCTTCCATTTGCTTTACCTACGCATTATTTCACCTACTGTTACTTTATTTTCACTTCAGATCTGTGTCAAGCTTCTAGGTAAGCATATCAAGATATGTTACTTGGTTTAGTTTCACCCACGCAGAATTTCTGAGGTAACGTTGTCTAAGAACCCTTTCGAAGGAAATTTGGTATTTTTAATATGGTTTAAGTATCTGGCCCAGATGTTTGGCCTTGATTTGGAATTTCAAAATCATTCTCCATCATGCCATAGTAATCATGATATTTATAACTTGTCATTAACAGATCTTTTATTTTACCAGTGTGAAGAGCCATCTGCTTTGTAAGATCTGACTTAAATATATAAGAAAGCAAATACTCTTCAGGCTGCTTTTCGTCAGTGGTTTTAATGAATAGGCAGTGTATTGTACTTTAACTTATAATTAAGGGTGAATTTCATGCATCATGTTTTTGGAAAACTAAATTCTTACTATGTTTATACAGATTAGTCATTTTGTTACTATTACCACAGGAATGCCTCAGTTTGTGTTATGCCATTTTGTATTATATCAGTGTGATAGCTTGGATTGAATTCAAAATTGCTGGTCTTTTGTTAGCAGCATCATGCAAAGGTAGAAAGTTTCGACAGTCTCTGTTTTGGTACTCATGGACTAGTTTCATTGACCTACAAAAAAAAGTAAAATATTGTGTGCACAGTGGACTATGCAGTATTCTAAATTTTGTTCAAATATATTTTATGTACTAAAAGTGTATTTGTACTTTTCTTAAAGGTCGAGTTAACATTGTCGACTTACAACAGGTAACTCTACTAATAAAACTATGTGCTTGTTTCTTTTCTTCACCATGTATATTGTAAATGTGACATTCATTAGTTATACTCCAGCTAAGTTATTTTTTTAAAGTAGAACAAACTTTATGAAGAACTGGTAGCTCATGTCAGAGTTCTGCAGATTACTTAATCCATCCGTTTATTGCTTTATTGAAAGCTCCTCTCTGCTTAATGCTAATCTAGGACTTCTGAAATCACCACTGAAATACACAGATTTTCTTTATGAATTCTTTTCTTTGTAAACTGTGGAGGGCAAACAGAAAAGAAATAGGTTTCCCATTTAAATTGAAAGCTGCAGGAGCATGCATAATTAACTTTGCATGCCTCTTTGGATCTTCCCTCTTCATTAATCCTCTTGTGTCCTCAGTAGTCTTCCTCTGTGACTAATTTTCCCTTCTAGTTTAAGCAAAATTACTTGGAATCAGAAAACCTCTCTGAAAGACAATTTACTATTTTCTGACTTTGCTTTCTGGTATTTGTTTATTATATAGGTTTCTTTTAACCTTATAGGGTTAAAAGAAACAGTTGAAAAGAGAGGTTTTTTCCCCTAAAGCACTGCTGCTTTATTTCAAAACACAGATTAAGTCTGTATGTATGCAATAGTAGAAAAAAATAAAAGCACCTTTCCTCAAGACATAGAAGTGTGTAAGTAATATCTCAATGTTTGAGAATTATTTTCAATTTAAAGTTCTGATAAGAGGTTTTGTTGTTGGTTTGGGGTTTTTTTTTAGGTAATAAATGTGGACCTTCTACACATTGAAAACAGAGCTAATGACATCGTTAAATCTGAAAAAACTATTCAGCTTGTATTGGGACAGCTTATAAATGAGTGAGTACTTTCAGGAGCAGTGTGTCTAATTCACATCTTTTTTGTTTTTTAAAACACAGACTAAAAATAACGTCCAGCCTTTGTTGCTTCTGAAGTGAAATAAATTTTTCTTGGCTGGTGCTGGGGCTGCTTGGTGGTGATCAATGCTACTTTTCCAAACAGCAAGTGAGGCCTATCTCAGCAAAGCATCCAGTGAATCCATGGAGCAAGGGCCTTACGGAATGTCTGTGTCCAGTGTCCTGCACTTAGGAGAGTTCATTTCTTACCCAGTGTGATGTCTGTGTACAGCAGCCACACCTCATTTGCTCTATGGCTGTGCTAAATACCTCAGCTGTTGACAAACCTTCTCATTTTTTCCCACCTCTTAGCCTAAGATATTTGAGCTAAATATTGCATGGCTTTCAGCACACTAACAACCACTGAAATAGTACTCTTATGGATGGTTCTTATTATTTATCAAGCTGCAGGATCTATTCATATCCAAGAATATGAAGTTCCTGGCTCTCTTGAAATAAGACCTGTCTTGCTCACTAGCCTTTTTCTAAGTTTCATTGACATGTTTTCCTCGTTCTGTTTTTTGACATTTTCATACAAGCAGATAAATGACCCATCTTAATACCTGGTTAGCAGGCTTTTTAAGAAACCACACCTTTTCACTTACATTGTTCTCCATTATTGATTTCAAATATCTTTCAGTTTATTTTTGTAAACGTGCAGCAGAAAGAGGTATATTAGAAGAGGTCAATAACTAATTCAGCATGTCACCTCGAGGCTGATCTTGAATTTCACACTTAATGTGTTGTGTTTGTTTTTTTTTCTTGTTTTTAAATAAGGAGTTACCTGGACCAATTAGCGGAAGAAATAAATGATAAACTTCAGGAAACTGGCCAGGTGACAATATCAGAACTTTGTAAGGCATACGACCTTCCAGGAGACTTCCTGATACAGGTGATGCAAGCCACCAACCTAGCAAATGCTGAATTGATTGTGTTCATCTTCTTTTGTTATCTTTGCATTATCCATTGCTTGCTTTAATTGTGATGAACTGCTTGTCATTTTAAGCAGAAAAGTATCAGGTACGTAAAGGTTGCAGTTTAACAGCTGTTCACAGGTTGGGGTTGATGTTTGCTTTTTCACTACTGGCAAAATTTCTTCTGAATCTTTGTGACTGTTAGGAACAGATTAGGATTAGTAGTGTTAGGAACACCTTATATTAGCATAAGATCTGAAAATTTTTTGGAAACACTTAAGATGTAGGGGTAATTTCACCAGTCTAATTAGCTACCCAGGAAGCAGAAATGCGATGGTAGAGTCCTTTCAGTTTATTCAAAAAAGATAAAATAAATATTAATTTTTAGGAACTGAAGCCAGGCATTCAAACTAGAACCCGAAGTACTATTTACATTTAGTTAGTGAGTGCAGAGTGTTTAAAAGGGTAGGGAGAATTCTGTTTTGTTGACTTTCAGTCAAGGTTGAATTTTATTTGGAAGATGCTTTATTCAAAGGATAATCCCGTGACGTGTCAAGTGAGCAGTCATATTAGGTACCACAGCCAACCATATTGACTGTCAATATGTGAACAGATTTCCTCTAATATTTGCCGCATGATCAGTTTCTACAAAAAGATTTCTAACATACAGAAATTTTTACGTGATTTCTCTTTGTTTCTTGGGTAGTATCTCCTGGCTTTAGTTCACTTTGCAGGGATGCACATTTATAAACTGTTTGCACCTTTTCGTGTTTATTGTTGTTAATTTTTATCTTGAATTTTTGAAAAAGTGGCCAGTGAATTCATCAGTCACTGGTTCGTACAAAACTAAGACAAGGATTAAATCTTAGTTTTCATTGTGCATCTCCAAACCACACTTATTTCTTCTGCAGAGTTTTCTGTCGTCATTAGATACAAGTATATCTGATAGAAGAGGACATTCTAAGAGAAGCTAAATTCGTCTATTTACAGGCATTATCCAGGCGTTTGGGCAGAATTATTCATGGGCAACTAGACCAGGAAAACCGTGGGGTGATTTTTACAGAAGCCTTTGTGTCCCGCCATCGAGCACGCATCCGTGGTCTCTTCACTGCGATTACTCGGTAAATTACAATGCCTGCAACCACGTGTTAAAATATTTTTACCATAGGTCTTTATGGACCAAATCCAGTTGTGATTGAAAAAGAAAAGAAAATATAAAGACCTATGTATAGATTCCCTTAAGTTCAGTTCCTGAGTGAAATATTCAGTTACGTTAGACTCACTTGTTAGAAACAGGGACCTCCTTTTGAAATGAGAACAAGGGAAGTATAACAATATACAATATATAACATACTTTGGGTTTTTGGCCGAAGAAAATGTTAATCCATAGTTCTTTTATTTGCTTGTAGAATATCTGTCCTCATTATCACTCTTAATTATCATTATGACTTCCTAGTCAGTTACATATTGATGTGATCACTACATGTGATTATATATAAGTTTTTCTTATTAAAGCAATAAGCTTCTGTGGCAATTTGTAGGAAGAGAAAAACTTGGGAGAGCAAAAGTTTCCTTACAATAATTATAGTAGCTTTGTAAGATATAACTTCACAGTAATTCAAAATTAAAACCTTGTAGACTATTTCAAACATCAGTGTAGCACCCTGAGGCTAAGACACTATGTAGTTTTGTCCATCTGGAGTAACCTTTCTTACTTATGGATTCTCCACATCAATTTCACGTCATTAACTTATATTGTTTTGTTGTTTTTTTTTTTTTTCCAAGGCCTACACCTGTAAGTAACTTGATCACTCGGTATGGATTTCAAGAACATTTACTTTACTGTGAGTTTCATTCAGAATATTTTGTGTGTGTTAGGTAATTAATTCTTCATTACTGTAAGTGTGCTTTCAAAGAAACATTTTAGTATATAGCCTTAATTCTGGATAAAGAACAATGTGTTTCTCTTGACTGTAGAAAGTATTAAACCTTTTGTGCTATCCATAACTGAAGGGATGTTCTCTGTGTCTAAAGCAGTGAAAGCATATGTTGATGAAATGCCTCTGGGGGCAGAATGATGCAAGAATTACAGTACTTATTTAGTCATCTGTTTCGTTATTTGCCCTTAGCTACTGGCAGTTTTATCAGTGAAGCACACTAAAGGGGACAGATTTTATGCACTCAAATAGCATTAACTGCTCAGGATTTTATTTACTAACTTTTCTTTGTGATAACGGAGGCAGTGCTTTTGTTATACTCTTAGTTAAATGACTTTATGTGCTGAGAGATAAAGCATATCCTTAAACTGTTTGGTTTTGTTTTCTGCAGTTCCTTTTCTAAATAGAAATGCATAAAGATTCTCTATCCAACTGCTGAAATCTTTAGGCACTACTTAATTGTTTGTCACTTCTGGTGTTGCAGTTTTTCTCTGTGTACCCACTCCTGTCTCTCCAAAATGCTCCTTCAAGCCTTGTTAGTCTTGTATGACTGGCTGACCAGGTGCTGCTGGTCTTTAAAATCCTTTAATGGTTTTCTGTCTCTTCGGGAAAGTTAATACTTCTCTTTTGTTTCACTGGGTCTTTTTGCCTTCAGGGTATTGCTCACTTTAGCTCCAGTGTGGTATGTCTCTGCTTACCTTCTTGTTCTTTGCAACAAACTTATTCAATAAAAAATAAAATCTTAGCACTTAAATAAAACCATATAAACACTCTACTTTCACATAATCAATTTAAAATTTCCACTTCTTCTTTAATGTACCATCCAGGTATTCATAGATCAAAAGGAAAATCTGTTAAATTACAGTATAGTAATATTTCGATACCCAGCAAATTTCAGTATTTTGTTGCAGTCTATTTCAAACAAGTCCTTCAAGTACGTCATTGTGCTTTGCTCGTGGACAGTGTTAATGTGAATTGAAGCTCTAGTGTTTTCTTGTCACCAGTAATCATCACCGTATGTATTTCTAGTATTTTCCTGGGGTTTTTATTTATCGAGTTTGTTTTTCTTTAGTTTTTCTTACTGTCTTTCATTACTTCTGCAGTTTCATAAGTTTCAAAGAGCTTTTTATCTTTTTACTCAGTGCCAGAGTACATGTGAGTTTATTGTGTCCATTTGCTGAGATATCATTTCAATTTCACGAATGCTGAAAACCTGAAAAATACCTTGTAATGTTACTTTTCACCTTTTATGTTTCTCACTATTTACAATGTCTTTTAAAGTGGTCTTTGTCAGTTTTCTGTCTCTTCCAGAATAAAAATGTAAGCTCAATGTAATGTTTGTATAACTTACAAAGAGCTAATTATTTAATCAGCACTTGGGTTTAGACAGGATAAACATTATTCTTTGGTTCTGTGGCATAGCTGTGCTGCTATTCATCTTAAGCTGGCATGAAGTTATGATAGAAAATTGTTCCAGAAATGAGAAAATCTTTAGGTTAAAAAGCATAATGAAATCACAGATGTGTTTAATTTCTGAATATTATGTTACTGATGTGGGACAGACATGTAGGGATACTTACTGTCTTTACCAGACTTTGACAGAGACCTAATAGAACACAGCAAACTACTTGGTCACCCTTAAAAATAAGTGTGAAATTATGGTAGTTCTGCAGAGGTCCTGTTGGTTTAAAACAAAATAGTGTCCAGGCATAATTGTAGCAGGGTCTGTGAAAACTCTGAGAGCACCTCCTCTGCCTTGGAGTTTTAGAACTGGCACTTCATATAATACAGAAATTAATTGACGACTTCTTTTCTTCTGATGTCTTCTTTCTCTAAAGACTCTAGTTTATTACTGCTGCTCCACAAAATTGGTTGAAAATCCCTTAAAGTCTAATTTTTTTTCCTAAAAAACTTCGAGTAAGAAGAAGTTGAATTGGAAACAGAGGACCAAGAGAACGACAGAACTGTGTTGTCTGACAGTCGCTTAAGTGGAATAGGCACATTGACTCTATTTTCTAAGTGTAACTAAAATATTAGGAAGTATAAAAATCTAATTTTATTTCCAGAATTGGTCTTATAAACTCCATTTTATACAGTGTAACTGAACCGTGGCAGAACATGATTTCTAGCTCTTGTCTTAGATTACATAAAACTATATCTTGCTTAAATTGGTTTCTCTTTCTTCTGTATTTTTTCAGTGTAAGTACTGTTCAGCTGTGCTAGTGGAAGTTGTGTTCAATAGCTGCTAGCTTATAGAGGCTCATCTACACTATAGGCATATTTGACCAAAATTATCATGATTTAATATGCAGTATTTCTTCTGGAACCATGTTTTCCGGTAAATTTTCCTGCTAAACCTCTGTATGCCGTAGTAAGCATGTTGTAATGTTGACTGCTGCTTGTATTTAATGAGGAAGAAGCCATACCATGTGATACTGTTTAGTGTTTTGTTCCAGAGTAAAACCTGTCTGTTAATGAAATAGAAATTAACTCAAAGTGAGGATAAAAAAACCCCATCCAATAAAGCTCTGGAAATTAGCAGAGCTTAGCAGTTGATGTCACTGATTTTTTTAAATGTATCTATTGTATTACGAAAAGGCAAAAGCAGAACATAGGAAGCAAATCAGATATTCCTATACACCTTTGAAGGATTGAAAAAAATCTTATTCAGCATCAAGAAATGCTTAGTACTTTGGTACTGCCAGTTACCAGTATGCTTTTTGTCCAGCAGTATTTGTTCATTCTCAAGAGGTTATTATTGGTAACTGTTACACAGTTTAGGTAGCAGTTTTTCATGACTTTTCATGTCATTTTAGTGTGTTTAGATCTCCTTTTTTCCATCTTGGTTAACATGCAAGCAATAAATTCAAAGAGAACATTTTTAATAAAATGCTCATATATTTTACTGTCTGGCCAGAGAAAGATTCTCTTATATCTGCATTTTCTAAATTAAAAGCTTGAACTGCCTACACATAAAAAATGTTTTGATCCTGCCATTGTGGCTCACTGTTTTGAAATGTATGATTTCCAGAGCTCTTAAGAAGACATTCTCATAAGTGTTAAAAATAATTTATAGAGCTTGGAAACGTTTCACTAGAACAAGCACAAACAACTAATTGGTGGGAAGAAAGAAAAAGCAAACTAGGGAAAATAATTGCTATCTTTTGATTAATGGATATGTTGACATGGGTACTGTCGCTTAATTTATTTTCTTCTTGTAGCTTTACTAGAAGAACTTGTTAACACTGGTCGTCTAAAAGGCACCGTGGTTGGTGGGAGACAGGATAAGGCTGTGTTTGTTCCAGATATCTATGCCAGAACGCAGAGCAACTGGGTGGATTCTTTTTTCAAGCAGAATGGTTACTTAGGTAATTAATCTATATAAAGATATAAAATATCTTTCTAAAACTAGTTTAGGTAATTGATCTTACCCTAACATAGCTAGTGCCTAGAGTGAAGCCTCACAAGAATAAATAAAAATCAGTACAGTAGTTGATACTCCTTTGTTAAAAGACCATCTTGTTTATAATGATGTGTGTTACTTTATGACAACTATTTCAGCAGATTGAACCATATTGCTAAACAATATGTATCTCACAGACAGAGCTACAAATGCTACTTTTACTACTGCTTCAAAAACATTTCTTAGACTGCTCATTGTAGACTTTTCAGATGATCGTGGCAGGTGTCCAGATTACAACCAAACTTTGACTGTTAATAGTCTGAATTTGCAGTGCACAGGAAGAATTTTTTTTTTTTCCAAAATAATATCTGTGGAACTGGAGTGAGTAGCAGTAGTGTCCTGATTTAAATCCAGACAATTCTGTGTAATTTAAAGCTGAGTGATGCTGGATGATGATATTTTAAAACACCTATGTGTATGGGAAAATGTGGACCTGAATAAATAGAGGAATGTCCCAAAGGGCCTGTTCCTAAGTAACAGTTAGTCTTGCAGATTGAAAAGATTCGCCATAATTTACAGTGGTAGTAGTAAGTGTTTCTGTAATGTTGTTTGACTGATAGAGTATCTGTCAAAGTCTTTAAATGTTTTCTGAACATCTTAAGTATAAACTGCCAAATAGTTGAAATGCTTTGCTTGTGAAGCATTGTATGATTCTGTGAGTATATTGGAGTAACTTTTGAAAACAAAACACTTAGGCATTGTATATATTGTAAATATTTTTCATGTGATATTAGAATACTTCGGAAATATTTAATTACATAATTAAAATATAATTAAGATATATACTTAATCGAATAAGAATCTGGGAAAAAAACATTTTGTTCCTGAACTCAGCCCGAAGTCATGTCCGTGATTTAATCTTCATATTTCTATTAACAGTGTTCAGGTGTATTTTGTATTGAACTAAGTTTTAGGTCAGCATTAGTTTAAGGCTGCATTTACTTGTATAAAACTATATGTAATTCTTCATTTCTTGCTTTGAGAATAAAATCATCCCCTAAGATCTTGTATGTATATGAAGGAACTTAATTGTAACAGACATCTAACTATTTTATAGAATTTGATGCATTGTACAGACTTGGTATCCCCGACCCAGCAAGCTACATTAAAAAAAGATACAAGTCAACACAGCTCTTATTTCTGAGAGCAGCTTGTGTTGGTCAAGAAATTGTGGATCAAGTTGAAGCCTCTGTAGAGGAAGCCATCAGCTCTGGAAACTGGATAGACATAGCAGTAAGCAATCCTTTCAGTTACTGTTGTTGGATTTATTTCTTTTGTTTTATTTTTGTGTCAAATGATATCTTATTGAAACTGCACATATGTGTAATGAAATTCCATGTTGTCAAAGAGGAAAATTCAGTTTAAAATGACAAGTAAAAAGGCATTATTTGCCTTTGATTTGATCTGAAAAAAACGGGGAAAGGTGTAGCCGTAAAACCTGTATTATATAGATTTTAAGGCGTCAAGGACATACTAATATTCAGTTAGTAAATATGTAAGACTAACTTTATTTAAAAATTAGTGCTAAAGTATTCTGCTAGAGAGCAATATATTTCTGTTGGACTTTTTTTTTAAAAAAGTCTAAGCTGAACTCTTACAAAACTTTCAGTAAGCAAAGGGATCTTAGTCATTTTGTCCTCACTAAACCCAAATTTTAGGTCTTACAGCACTACCCTGTCATTTTTAAGTCTCACTGTTGTTTTGTGTTTGGCATTGCTCTGTATCTGTTGAGCTTTATTTTCAAGAAGTTGCCATGCATTTGCACAGGTAACACATATTTTTAGGGCAATGCTTATTTAGGATGTTAGAAGATTTCAAATAGTGTGTACTCTTAAATTACTAGTTTAATTTTAAAAGGGCAGTGTTTTCTAAATAGATAACAGATTTCAAATGGCACGTCTCCGGATTCTGTTTATCCACATGTGAGGTTATTGTATTTTGATTTTCTTTACCCTAGACTCTTCTGCCCAGTTCATTGTCAGTAGAAGATGCTGGGATTTTGCTTCAGCAAGTGATGAGATCTTTAAACAAAAACTCTTCAGGTTTAGTCTTCAGTGACACCATTGCAGTCAGTGAGAAATTTCTAAGCAGCTGTGCTGACCTCTTTTCTGATATGATGCAACAGAAAGCTGAAAAGGTACAGTTTTTTTAGTGGTCAGGATACAGTGCACGTTTAATGTTGGAGGATAACTTATGTAACTTGCTATTTGCTGTTATCATTTCTTTACATCTCTTATGAAAATAAATGAAGAAAATGTATGTATATGTAATCAGTGTAATTTAATGTATATTCAGGTGCACTCAGGAAACACACACAGTATGATCAGATGCCAAATTTTGAAGAGAATAAATATCTCTTCATGTGTTACAGTTGCAAGACATGGTCTTTGGTTAGTGTACTTGAAAATGGTCAAACAGGAAAATGTTTCCTTATGTATCTTTTGGTCCTGTGTGTATCTTTTTGCTATTAAATGCATGTTCTTCACTTTAGGAAATGAAAAACAACCCTGTTAATTTAATCACTGAAGAAGATTTAAAACAGGCTTCCGGTTTAGAGAATTCATATGCTAATAGAAAAGACAAAAAGGATGAAAGAAGAAAGAAAGCAACAGGTAAAAAACCATCAATATTAGCTAAAGCCAAAAAAAAAAAGGCTTGTTTTTCCTTGGAAATACTTAAATATAAAGTTTGTGCATTTTGTACTCTCCAGTCCATTGCTGAAGATATTTGAGAAATAACCCAACCACTTATCATTATACTGTGGATGTAGATATATCTGAGCTATGTCTATGAGAACTAATTTCCGATTTAGAAGTGCAGAGGAACTACCATAAAGGTCTCTTGAGTGAGTCCAACACAAGACAGCTGGTTTTAAAAGCAAGGAATCCATTGTATACAGTATGGTCACATAAATCTGAGCAAAACCAGTATTAGTTCAGGGACCTATACCATTTTTTATTACACAGTGCAGATACACTTTTAGTCTCCACTTTTCAGGAATCCAGGAAAATTAAAATATTTCTTACCAGTCTTGAGATATTAATTCTAAAATAGCTTTGTATAAATTGAGAATAAGTTTCTTGGTGGTTTTTTGGAGAATATTTGACATCTTTTCTGAGAAACCCATACCAGAGAATTTTCTGTTCTTTGCTCATGTAACAGTTACTTGGGGATTAAGGCAGTTTACTTTGAGGTATATCCTGGATTAAATTAATCCCAAACTTTACTCCATTTGTGTGGTGGCTGTTTGGATGGATTTTAATCTAAGAAGAAAAAATGTGTGGGTTTAACCCATTGAAATCTTTCTGGTTTTTGAAATGTTATTCAGATTGGAGACTGTACTTTCAGTGCCAAAAACTGTATGTGGCTCTTGTGTTGCTACAACACAGTTGAGCAATCTATATTGAACTCACATGCAGAGTGTTATGTGCTGCTGCAAGTAAGAGAATTAGAGCACTGATGCATTTAACTTAATTGAATATACTCATCTGCAAAGTAAAACAGTATATTCTATCTTAACAAACGATAGATTTTTCTGGGCCATAGCTTAGGCAGAGAAGCTTGAAACTTAATTATCTGTCATAACAGAATGGCTTCAGTTTTCAGCACTCTGAGGAGTGAGACTCTACTGAGCCTGTACTAGGTGACTAGATAAATTCATATCCACAGGTAACATATGCTGCACCATCAGCAAGCACTACCCTGAATTTTTTTTTATGGACTGTTAGGTGTATTACCTAAAAAAACCTAACATAACAGTTTATGTAATGTAATTAATGTAATTAATGTAATTAATGACTGTAATGCAATTATGTTTCAAATAAGCTTGTGAAAAGCACTAATTATTTTTTTTGTTGTTCCTGCAAAGTGATGCTTAAAAATCCATGTATAGCATGTAACAGATGCAGTTAGCTTTATAAGTAGTAGCATCTTGTCTTTTCTTAAATAATAGTACTGTTACATAATACAGTTACTTGGAATCTTGGACCATATATTTAAGTGGAAAAAATACCTACTTTCTTAAGGCATAGGACATGTATAGAACAGTTATTCTGGAGTTTAAATTTCTGTCAAGTGAAAAAATAACAAGCTATGAAAAAGGGAACAAATAGCAGAACATCTTACTTTGTGGAGAGGGACTGTATAACAAATTGAAATTCTGTCTGCAGTTGAATACATTGATTACAGGACCTCCGAACAAAGTAATTCGTTACATGTGGCAGAACTGGAACATCTCACTACTGCTTTATAGTCATCTAGGAAAAGTCAAAAAAGATTGAGTGCTCTAGTTAATTGAATGTGTGCTTCCAGGAATATTTTGGATAACTGCTATTCATGTAGCATTCTTCCTCTGAAAATTAACAAAGTTACATTATCTGAAATATTTTTGAAAAGCTCAGTTATTCAGCATCACTGGATAAAGATACTAAGGGCTTACTAAGGTGCTATTTTCAGCCACCAGAAAATCTCCCATTGTATTATGGACACTGGTATTTCATCTGTTTTCAGCTGGAGGAAAGATATTGCTCTTTTTTTTCTTTTTAATCATATGTGCATTTGATATGATTAGTATTTGTGTTTATTAATGACATTGGCTTAAACAAAACTTCAACTCAGTTACTTTGTTTTCTTAAGGATGAAACTAATGGTCCTGATATTCTGGAATATGTGTTCTAGTTTGTGTTGAGAATCAGGTTGTGACTTTTTATTCAGCATTAACAAATAACACAGATAGTTATGATACTATTGTAAAAGTTTTAAGCACTACCACTTTTCTGTGTACTAAGCAAGTAATTCCCCACCAGAGGGCAGTGGAAGCGTGAGAGCAGGAGGCGGTGGCAATGCCAGAGAGATCAAGATTAAGAAAACCAAGAAGAAAGGAAGAAAGGATGCTGACAGCGATGAAGAGTCACAGGGGACTGTCACAGGTTTGTAGTTTTATTTTAGGTACTATCTATTCATGTCTATTCAACGCATTTTTATCACTTGCTTTTCCTCGTGTCTGTTCTTCTCCTACTGTGTAGGTAAGGTCAGGTAAAATGTCAAAGAAGATGAGAATACCATTTAGTTAGAATTGTATCAGTGGATATATGATGTTGCTATTTAAATGAAATGGGCATACCATGTTCACTGAAAAGTATAGCTTAGTCTTTAAAAAAGAAATTTAAGTAAAGTAAATTAGACCATTTTATATTTATTTATTTATTTAATGTAGGAAATGCCTTAGATTATACTTGAAAGTTATACTTGATTTTGTAACAGCTGTGTATGGTAAATGAATGGCTTAAATTAACAAATCATAGCAATCAAACAGTCTTCCTCCATAGGGATAAAATATAAAGTCAAAACTAAGTTTTAATATTTTAAAAAATATTCATATTGTTTAGCTGAGACTTTTACATCTGAGCTAGCTATCTTTATAACTGCTGACTTTTTAAAGGAATTTGAATCACTCCCTATTGGCACCCATTTCTCTGCCTTCTCAGTTAGGAGAAGGAGCATGGATGGCTTCCTAAGAAGTAAAAGCCAGCATTGTTAGAGCAAACGGTGGTTGCAAATGAAACAGTGGTGTTCTTTCTTTTATTCAATGGAGCACTAGAAATGTATGCTTCTATTTTATATATAGTACCTAGACTTTCAATACTGACTGAAAAATACTTTTAAACATATTTGAAGTTATGAAGTACAGCATATTAATTTTGTTTGATATTGCTCTCACTGATTGCTGTAATTCATATATAAATGAAGTTATTTTTCAGGACTTCTCAATTACTGAGTAAAACAATGTTAAATCACTTTTTTTTTGGTGTAGCCTTCCATGTGTTACCACTGTTGCTTCTTGTAATTGTATAGTAATATATAGATTAAATCACAATCTCAAGATAAGCTCAGATGAAACCATTCAAATGTAAATAAGACCCTTTAAAAACCTGACTTAAGCTCCTTTTTCACTTGTTTATATAACTTTGTATGCTTATTGCTACTGTGGCACAACTAGGAACATCATTGATCTCCATACATGCAGTTACTTAATGTGCAGAATAAACCTGTTTTAAGCCACAACTTGAACATGGAATGCCTGTCCTTTTATGGTTCTATGTCATCACCCTTATCTCATTCTTATATGTAAAAACTAAATTCTGCAGCATGCAGGCAAACTTCATGTTTTGTGCAAAATCAAAACACAGCTGCACTAATTTGTATGCATTTACAAGCAGCATGTAAGTGGATTTTATTACTTGACCATCTCTTCTGGTTTAATATTATTGTTTTGTCACATCTGAAATTTTATACTGTAACCTCAAGTTTAGGATACTGTGTTACAGGATTGTGTACCTTACTAAATGGAGTTTAAAAAAAACAAAAAGCTTGTGAAATCCTTCAAATAGGAACACTCTATTCAGTTTTGGCACTTTAAAATCTGCCTGGTCTTGGAGAGATTATGGTTTCTAAACTTACAGGTGGGCCGAGCAGTCTGAAATGTCTTGTCAAAAATACCTGTCCTTGTACACTACTTCAGAAGCTTTTAAGTAGTGGAAAGAGAAATTTTGTTAGTTTTTCAGATGTGTAAAATATAACTGTCATGTATAGTCATCCCTTTTTTTCCACTGTTGATAATGCATTTCTTCTGTGGATGTTTGGATTTTCAATGTCTCATGCCAGAGTAGTTGCAGCAATACTAAATGGAATGTTTTCTCATTGAATGTTGTTCATGGCAACTACAGGTAGGAATAAGCAGCCAGAGTTCCCTTTCATGTCTCAAGAGGAAATTGAGGATGTCTTAAAGACCCGCCTGCAGGATTGCCCTGAAGAGCTTATTACAGAAATTGCTGAACATCTAAGAAGGTAATTTCTGTAATTCATCTGGAGTTACAAAATTCTTAATTCACTTCAGATGAATCTTCAGTCTGTTTTCTTGCTTAGAAAAAAGTGATTTGTTGATAGAAGTGAATCATAATATTCTTTTTCTATACAGCTTCATATTACGTACTCCTTAGGTGTTAGAAAGCTGTGCTGACACAATAATGAGAAATAATGCTTCTGCTTAGCAGTATATGGTTCTGTATGCTTTGTCAGCAAGCTTATTTTCAGCTCCATGAGTGTGTTTCCACCCCCTTACACATGTTGGGATTTCACTAGTCTCATCTTCTGTACAGCCTTTGGTATATGTCCATGTTTCCTGCCTTCTGTGACTTCACTGCTACCCGTGTGAACTGGGTAGTACCTACGTCATCAAACTGATCTATGCAAAGATAATCCATGCATTTTTTAAAAGATGTTTCATACAAGAGATGTGAATATGCGTGTTTAGAGCAAAAGGCACATAGTAAGACTGTAACAGCCAAGCTTGAATAAACTTGGAGTGCAATAGTAATAGTAACTGCATCTTTAGAAGGACCTGAAATCTGTCCACAGACCCCTGAAAGTTTGTGAATAGTGTTGCTTCTGGAAATCCTTCTATCTTTCACCTTGTTTTTGTTTAGGAGTTTTTATAAGTTAAAACCATGGCAAGCATTTACATACCATGCATACTGTAAGAGTAGTACATTTGCAATTGCAAAAGTACATTTTAATTTCCCGGTGTTTTTTCCTGATTTCTATTATTTGCTTTTTATTTATCTCATGTGTGACATTCATATCTCATTCCTTTTTACTATGTAATGAAATAGTTTTCTCTATTGCTGATATATTTGGGAAAACCTACAGTTTTACTTTTTGCTTAATGTTTTTTTCTTTCCCGTTCTAAGACCTTTAACAAAAACTTATCAGGAAGTTGTGCGTTCTGTTTTTACGTCTTCAACATCTTCCTCTGGAGCTAACAGAAAACAGACTATGAAGGACTTGCAGGAGGAATTCTCAAACTTGTACAACAACATTCGGTTATTTGAAAAAGGAACAAAGCATTTCACAGGTAAAAATTGTTAAAATTATTTCAGAATCTACATTCAAGGTCAAAGAGGAGCAACAGTTTAAAAAGGAAAATCTAAAAAGAAAGAACTTGAGATGTGTTTACTCTGCCAAACACTCCCCTTATGCTGAAGTGCATCCCTTTGCACACTTATTGTAATACATTCTCTTTATTTCATATCCATATTCTTTTATATATTATGTCAAGATAATTATGTGTTCTTGTCCTTCCTTCCCAAGTGTTTGCATTCCTTCCAAGTTTTTATTGTCTAGGGAAAAAAAAATTTAGTAAGCTCACTTTATTCTGTCACCTGTGCCACTGTTGAAAGAATTGAATACTACTTGATTCTGAAAAGCTGCTGTTTAAACCTCTTAGTTTGATACTGGAAGTAGCTGCTCCTTGAAGATAGTCTGTCAAAAAGTTGTAGATTCAAATGACAGAAAAGTTAGCATTAGGAAAATATTGTAGACATTTCCAAGATTCTCTACTGTATTCAGCTTTCTTCTAGAATTTTCCTAGTGGAAAACTTCTAAGAAAAGGAAACACTAGCAAAAAACCCCTGATATTCCTATGCTTTGGAATACATGGAATTATTTCTCATGAACCTTTGTTCTTGGACATGTATTCTATAGCCTTTTTTTTTTAAATTCTACTATTTCAGTCTTAAAGTCTGCTCTTTTGTTGACTGCTTATCCTGCAGAATTTTCCTTTACATACTTATTACTTGATGGATAACAGTGGTTGTTCATTACTGGTTTAGGAGGATTATAGAAGGACTAGTTTACTGCTTATACAGATACACCTTTGAAATACTAACAATGCATTACAATGTTCTTACAGACCTGAAAGCTCACGTTTTTTACTGAAGATTGTTCCTTTAGAACCAGCAAATGAGGGATGTTAGCTTCATGTATCCAGATAGCTTTCTTATACTGCTCATGGTTGATTCCATGTTTTAGGAAGTGCTGTGATAATGTGGTAGGAATCAGATAACTATACTAAGTGAATTTAATCACTTATTTCTTTTAACAGATGAGACTCAGACTAACCTTGCCAAACACTTGTTGAAGACTGTGTGTACAGACATTACAAATCTTATTTTCAACTTCTTAGCATCTGATTCAATGATGACAACAGAAAACTACTCTACAATCACAAGTGAGGTACCCAGAAAACAGTTGCATTTTAACAGTCTCAAGTAGATCAGTGATGTTCATTTGGTATTTAATTGCTTCTGTTTAGATATGCCTACACCTAAAATTATAGTTAATATTACAGATTATTTCCATTCTGGTCCCATACAGGGCAGGACCAAGATTTTAGGTAAACTGCCAGAAGACACCAAGGGTCCTTTAACTAAACTGCATACTTCTCTGAATGGCAAGGTAAAGTTCAGATTTTCTGTTATGCTGATACAGTTCTAACAAATAGCTGACATACATAGTGTAGTACACAAGCCCTGCTGCTGTGAAGAATAAAGGCAAAATAATCTTTTGAATTTGTGTAAGGCGGTGAGAGTGTGTTGAATTTTCAGAAGTGAAAAGGTGATCTTACGTTTTAATACTGATGGTCACCTTGCTCTTTGCTGCCAGATGGAATCCTATATGTGCCATCTTTTATGAGCAGCTGAGAAAAGTAAGAACTGGGAGAGAATCTCCTGTGTTAAGTGGTTGATATTTCTTGTATTTTGTTCCCAAAGTTCCTGATTGTTCTCCCATGTTTTTTTTAAACTTGTAAAATAATGGATATTTTTTAAGAAAACGAACATTCAGATTATGGCAGTGTAGGTACAAAGGAGAGTTATTTATTAATTCTTTTATACAGATGACAGTATGTTTCTTAAGAAAAAATATATGTGTAAATAATTCTAGAACATGTATCCATTTTTAAGACTAATGAATTACAGTTTGGGTTAGTATTTAAGTGTGTGAACTATTGTAAAGTGAACAAAGTTAATTTCTACTAAATTAAGTTAATTTCTACTTGTTACTTTCTCTTTTTTTCTGTAGTTTATTTCAAGTGTATTCACAGTCATCTCTTCGTGTGATTAATTCTGAACAGTGCCTAAACTTTTTTATAATCTACTGGCAGAGATTAAATATTTATATCATTTTTTTAATAGAGTGTAGAAGATTTTCTTTCATACCTTGATTCTGCAGTGGATATTTGTGGTATTATGGTGAAAAAAGGAGACAAAAAGAAGGAAAGGTACCTTATTTTTATTTATTCTATGAAATGTAGCTATATTCTACACAAATGCTAGATAGTTTGGTAGCAGCCACACAGAATGTATAAAAGAGGCAGTCCTTCTTTCCAAACTGTTTAATGGAAAAATACGAAGTCAAGCAGTCCTAAATCCATGGAAAACGGAGGAGGGGAGCATTCACATTTAGCTAGTTTTCTTGACTTGCTGCTTGCTACAACGTAGTGTATAAATTCTCTAGGGGTCTTTAAAAATCTGAGCTACACCAGTGCTAGCTTTTTTTTGATTATTATTATTCTGGAATTTCACATAAATAAATGGTCGGTCAGAGGAGAAAATTAAAATAATTGATGTTAGATATGGCTTAGAGTCTATGATCAACTACTATATGATAGAATCATAGAATCATATTTTTGTTTAATGCATTCTTGTTCCTTAGGCAAGTCCTGTTTCAACATAGGCAAGCTTTGATTGAACAGCTGAAAGTCACAGAAGATCCAGCTCTTGTTCTGCACCTGACATCAGTACTGTTATTTCAGTTTTCAACTCACTGTATGCTTCATGCACCAGGAAGATCAGTACCACAGATCATTAATTTCCTAAGTGGCAAGATCCCAGAGGTATTCTTTTCTAGCTTTTTAAGGGGAAATTACCCTTTATCTATGACGGAACATAAAAGTTGTGCCTGACACTATTTATTTCTGCTGCATAAACCTGGCACCATTGCATTTCATATCTGATCATTACTTTATGTACAGAATGTCCAATCCCTCTGACCTGTACTGTATTTCAAACCTTTCCTTTCATGGATCATCAATACTTTTTTAATAAAATTAAAAATGAATCTGTTATTAGTACTTTGCTGTTACTCACAGAGGCAGCTCTGTATTGGGGGAAGTTACAGTTCTTATAACTGAACATTTTTACACTTTCTTTTTTCTCAGCTATAGCATAGTTCCTTTTTAAAATTTTCTAATTCAGTTTTAAAGAAAGATACACTTCTTCCAAAGCAAAAATACTGAAATTCTATATTTTGTGCTGCCAAAACTGGTGATGTTTACTAACTGCATTGCTTTCCTGTTTCAGTTGTTAAATGTCCTGTTTTTGCAGCATGGACGCACTTTCATTTTTCTACCTCTTTGAATATCTGTCAGAATTTAGGTTGTCAAATACCTTGATGAAAATATGTATCACTAACCCTCTTTGGGCAAGAATGGGGAAATGCTTTTTTAAAAATTTAATCTTTAATTATAGGCCTGTCTACCTGCTCTGTAACATTGACATCCTTTTGTTTTGTTCTCTTCTTTTGCCCTCAGGATCAACATTCTCTGTTAGTCAAATACCAGGGATTAGTGGTGAAACAATTGATCAGTCAGACTAAGAAAACTGAACATGGAGAGAGTGACACAACAGATAACAGGGAAGAGGAGGAAGGAGCAGATACCATTCGAAAAGAGCTCCAGGAAATCACTACCTCTATCAAGGATGTTGTTCTGAGACCTAGAAAATTTTCTGTAACAGAGGAATAAAATTATTATTCAGTGCATCTACTTCCATGATATAGTCAGATTTTATTTTCTTTATTCTGTAGAAAAGAACAACAAAAAATGCTTCACAGACTTTAAAATTTGGCTTCTAACAATTGCAAATCACAGCCAGGGAACACAGTTGCTGGGTGATGGTGGCAAACAGTTTTATTATACACTACTACAGTGTACATTTAACACACATTGAATGTAGATGTGGCAGAGCACAGTTGTGGACACACTGGATATTAAATTAGTGGGTTCTAATTGGTATCTTCACATGAGGCCTCAAGAGATGTTTATTCTTCAAATAACAGTGTATTTTGTTCCATACACACACACAGGCTAATAGTTTCACTTCTCTGATTTGGATTTATAGTGAGATAAGGCCTGTCTATCTTAATTTCAAACACTAGTTTTTAAACATATACTGATACCTAATACTATACCAATGAAGGCCACCTTTACTCTCATACATTAGTGGGTGTTTTCGGCTTCTGTTCACTGGACTGCAACAGTAAAAACACTTGTGTGCAAGTGTTTATTGCTAAACTTAAAAGAAAGTGACCCAGTACTAATGTGAGTTTCTGAATGTACTGAAAACTTAGGAAAATCAGCACACTTATGCTATTAATGTATTCTACTAATGTCCAAAATAGATGTTCATTTAAAACTTGTGATTCAGACAGAGGAGGTGATTTTGCATTGGTATTTTGGGAGCAGATAAATACTGTTACACCTGCCATACTGTACATGCTAGATGTTCATTTGGAAGGCTTGTTGAGTGCTTATCCAGTTCCCATAGCAGTTAGAAGCATTTGTTTGCATTTTCCAGCTCCTGAGAGAACTTGTTCTGTTTATCCCAAATTTCTTGAAAAGAATTTAGTTTATGATCTTTCTACGTAAACTTCACAGACTGAAATATTGGCTACAGTGTTTCCCTCAAGTTTTTTACCAGCCTTAATTTTACATTAGCAGTACTTTATATCTTCAGGAAGTGCAAAAATGTGTAAAATAGAGTTCTGCCACTATTAATGACATAATTCTTCTATGGCAAATATACTTCTACCTTATTTGTAAGAGAAGATAATTTTCAAATGGGAAATACTTAAGTTGTATGACTTCAGCAATGCCCGTTGATTTCATGTGTGTAATTACAGGGAGTTGCATAAAATCAAGCTTGAGTAATAAGAAAGAGTTCTTTTCACTAAAAATGTCATTCACCCATTCTTGCCAAAGTTGATGCTGAGAGCAAATTCTGTGCAAGCCCTACTCTGTTCAAGTATTTCTGTTTTCCAACAATTCATGTGTTCTGTGAGCTTAATCATTAATGTACCCAAGCCTGAAATTGCAACAAATGGCAATTGAAGAGGCCAAGTGCGAAAGCTCAGTAACAGAGTAACCAAGGTTAAGGTTATTTGGTAAGGTAAACAATAGAATTTTATACATATTTAAAAGGTGTTAATGTTTAACAGTGTTCATGTCAATGTTGATCTTTAACCAACTGCAAGGCAAAACAGGTTGTAAGGCAGAAGTAAAGGTAGTTTTTCCTCTTTCTTTGGCTGGGGGTTATCTTAGCTGGCAGTAAAAGACAAGGAGGAGTATAAGATGAAAAATATTCAGGTTGTTTAACTTTGTTTAAGAAATAGTTTGCATACAGGGAATAGGTTTGACTTCTTGGTCTTTAGCCAGAATAATTATTAAGTTCCTATAATGAATGTAAACAATTTTATATTTCATTGAACTATTTTTTAAATAATATGCCATATGAAATTCTGTATCCAAATATGAAATTATTTTAATAACATTAAATGATGAAGTATTTAAAGAGCATTCTGTTGACTTCAGCAATGGTTGATCATCTTGCAACTTGCGGCTTTCAGACAGCAATTGGTAATATGCACCAATTGATTTAACACCCCATTCTGAGTGTCCCTCTGTTTTTGTTTGATATTTTTATGGTGGAATAATAATGAACTTACTACAGAATTTACTCTATCATGTTTGACTTGCTATATTGTAGCCAAGGTTATAAGAATTAAGAAAAAAAAATATATTCTTTGAAGTAGATACAAGGGAAGCACTAAAATTTAGAGAATTTCTTCTGGCTGCTAACAGAATTCAAGGAGACATAGGTTGGAAAACTTTCACAGGTATTTTTGTTGTCTCTTAAATTTGGAAATTCAGTCTTTAGTTTATGATATAAAACTATTTTGAAAGAGAAAGAAAAGGAATGTTCACAAAGTCCTGAATATTTTGCTAATTCATGGGGTTTTTTTCTCTGTAGGAGAAATGTATGCAGGAGGAAGAGTAATATTGTCATATTAATCAGAGGTGCAATTCACAAAACAAAACTGCCCTTTGGAATATCTGGGAAATGAAAGGCACTACAAAGTATACAAATTAACACTTCTTTGGTTTCAAGTATTTAGTGTCAGCCTCTCATGCCCTTCACCTATGGTATTTAAACATCTCCATTATATTTTTAGACTCATAAACCAATGTGCATAAGATGCACGTGTGTGTTTATACACAACTTCTTACAAACATTCATCTCACAGCCTTGTATGCTGCTACTCTCAGCAGATTGGAATGGGTGCATTAGCCATAGGTAGAGTAACACCTTTCTCAGCAACAGGCTCGCCTTCCGTTCTTTTTAAGTGGCAAAATGGGGCTTTTATAGTTGATTACTTGCAGGTCTGCTGGAAATAAGCAAATTGTTGCTCTGTTAGAACTTTCAGCCTTCTCTCCAACTCCCTTGTTTCACAGCTTCCTAAAAAAAACTTGGCACAAGTTTCTAAATAATGTCACTGAGTTTTGCTGTCTGCACGAACCCATCTTGCAGCTTGTTCAGATAAAACTGCAGTAGTTCTGTTCTCTGTGTAGGGTCATAAGGCTACTCAAGAAGTGGTTGCTCCTTGAACTTTTTTTTTCTATTAAGTAACAGTAGGCCAAGAAAATGGAAATTTCTACAAAACTGGGTAGATTTGGGTTTTCTCATTTAATAGGAAGTCTAGTACTCCTGCAGATGACACTAGAGTGACTGTAGGGGGTCATATTGAAAGTCAGTGTAACCCAGTATTGTATCTCCAGCAGAGGCCCAAAGTGGACGCTTGGGGAGGAATATAACAATGAGGCATGTAATGATTTTTCCTTTGTGTAGCATGGATTTGGTGGCTCAAAAAGCACTCAAACTTTTTGGAAAACAATTGTACTTTATAGGTACTTTGAGACCAGAGTCCATTCTCTACTAGCCCAAATAACAGAACATATTCGGTAAATGCCAAAGATATTTTCTCAGGAAAACAAGTTCATTACCTTTTTATTATTTTCTTTAGGAGTTGTTAAGGGATGCCATCTATTTGCATTTTTCTTTTTAAATAGTTAATATTCTAAATTGGGAAGAGTAACTTCAGTAGTTTAAAGAGAACCATCATTTGTTTGGTGAATTTCCCAAATCCTTAACATGAAGAGGGTCAAGATGGGTCGTGTCAGGAAGCAGACAAAATAAGCTGCTTTCTATTTCAGGAAGTTCCGGAAGAGATGCGAGAGCTGCGGGAAACATCTAACTGATACTCTGAAGAAACAGCAGACTTTTGTTGGCTTCCTCAGTCGTGCTTAATTTGCACCGTTGGCAAAAACTCTGATCCTGTTTTAAATGATTCTCTGGGCCTGTCTTCTATTAATGCAGTTATTATCTCTGTCTACTGTTAGCCAAATTTGAGGGTAGTCTTTGAAGCATGAGGAAAGTGATGTGCTGGAGGAGGTGTCTGAAGTTCTCATCCTTTATGGAAAGAATATATTGTGTTACAAGTGTCATTAGCTCTTTCAAGAGATCTGTCTGGGATAATACTTTTGTCTTGATCTGCTTTATGAACTAGAAAAGGTACTTGGTTAAGAATTGTACTTTCAGTTTTCTCTTTCTGGAAGCAAAGGCAAGAGAAAACTATTCATGATTCTCATTCTGGACTCAAATTCACACCTAACTTGTCCTGTCATCAATCTGCAAAAATCACAGGCTTGAAATAAAAGATGCTTGGTATAAATAAAGCTTATAGCACATATAAAAATAGGAGAAAAGAGTTCAATCTAGTTTAAGTAATGATAAAATAAGTGTCTGCAGAGGTTTAATAAGACAGTCATACACAAGCAGAGATCATCAATTCTTGGCAAAAATATTCAGAGGATCAGTCTTAACTGCAAGACACTACCTAGACACAGATAACCTCCAGAACATGTCCAGATTTGGCAATTTTACTGAAGTACTCAGATAACGTAATACATATTTCAACATTTAAACATTTCCTTCTTTTGTCTATCTGTGATATAAAGCAGCTCCCACCCACTTGACGTTATAGACTAAGTGATTCAGATCTATTGGCTCTTGGTTGTGGAAAAATCTGCCTGGAGGTCAGTCGTGGTTCATACCACAAGCAACCATCCTTTTTTTGCTCTGCTTAACTTCAGCTGGCATTTTTAAATGGGCACATGTATCCTTATTTTCGGCTGTGTTTGATTAAAGGTCTGCATGGAGTGTTATGCCAAGTGTAAGGACCTCTGTGTGCTCTGTGCATGTGGGAGCCGGTCTGTGAAAGTTAGCTGGCCCCTGCTGTGTCCGAGCACAAAGTAAAGGAGGTGACTGCAATTCAAAGGCCAGAACTGAGAGCGAGCCTAGAGGAGGCCATTGCTGCCACTCTGGTGGTATCTCACCTCAGCAAATTGATCCAGCCCAGAAACTACTTTAGTAGTCTCAGAGAAGTTCTGCTGTGTCCCTGAATGTCTTCTCTGAAACTAAAGGAGGCTTCTACTTGCCCCCCATTTCCTGTACACAACAGTCAGACTTTAGTAATTGGGACTTTTCTGATTTACGAACCCACGTGAGACTTTTTGGATTCATTATGCATGAAGCAAAGTGTATTTGGGGATGAATAATGTTCCTTCTTTTTTTCTTTTCACTGAATAGTTTGGGGGCTGGGGGTTTTGATTCCTTAGGTATTTTAACAGAAATGCATTTTTCCTTTTGACAACTCTCAGAAATATGCTCCTTTAAGAACCTCCTACATGGTATATGTATTTGCAATTTGTAAACACAGTATGTCAAAGAATGATTTGATTCAGTGGCAAAGCAGCCAGCTATTTGCATGTCATGAGGTCTAAGGGAAACAAACTGACCCTCAGCCTTCCCCCATCCAGCCAAATTCTGATGGGACCCTCAAATAGCTCTGGCAAAGTGTTCTGTTTCTTTTGGACTTGATGAATGCTTGTTTCTGTGAAGGCGTGTAATTATTTCTTCCTTTATTTTGCTGCACAAGTTACCAAGAGAAGCAGCTTAAAACAAAACGTGAGTATTGAGACTCTTTTCTGTTATTACTTTATCTGATAATCTTTAAACGTGGTAGTATACAAGGTACCTAATTTAATATTTTGAGCAAGTAAGCAGGAACTTTTTTCTCACACACAAAACTGCTAATTAAATTAGATGTAGAATCCTACACATATAACAATATATTTTTGTGTGTGTGTACCAAAAGAAATACCATGCCTTTCCTTTGGATGCAATTCTTTACGTTGTATTAATTGGCTCACTCACTAATTTACAGAAAGATTATTTGAGGTTTCCTTTGTAATGGGATGAGGATGAATTTTGTTTACTCCGAAGAACAAGTCAACCAAAAAATGCGTATGCTGTCTCCTGTGACATTTTAAACCCCATTTTTATCTCCTTTCAAGCTTTCATAGCTATTTGCTTTTGCAAGAAAAATTTCTAGATAATATCTATCAAGTTAAGTCACTTCTTTCTAGCGTAACTAATATTAACACCAAATGTGGATTGTTCTTGTTTTTTGTGGTTTTTTTCTTTGGAAGTAAAACCAGTTTCCAAACTGATTTTTTTACAAGTCAAAATATTGCTGGAAACAAGAAGTATCATCTCCCAGTCCTCCCCCCATAAGATACTTTAGCTTTCAGCTATCATATTTTTATGATCAAAATTATGTTTGGAATTTGAAGGGAAAGAGTAATATTGAAAGGATATATCACTGTTTACTGCAATGGTGCTAGAAATATGTGTCTCTATTAGAGAATTAAAAAATTATGGGTAACAGTGGCAATAGTCCTTAAATTACAGTCTATGAATATTAACTGTACTGCTACATAATGGCAGTCTTTTTGATAACGAGATTTAAAATTAAACTTGGAGAAAACTATCAAATGTAATTTTCACTTCAGTAATAAAAATACTTAAAAATATATTTCTTTAACCATCCTTGTTTTCAAAAACAGGATGATTGGAGCTGGGCACAAAATCTCTTACATTTAGAAAGCAAGTTTCAGATGCCTTTGTTTTATTTGTGTTCATATTTTTCTTCTTATTCATGTAACAAGTTGGCATTTCTTGAGCAACTGAACAGACTGTAGTGGATTTAATATATTAACATTATAACAGTTTACTGATGGTCTTCCCATGTAATTTCATTACACTATTAGGAAAGTCACTTTGATTCAAAGGTGTTTAATTGGTAGAAACTTTCGAAGACTTACTAACCAGCTTGTAGGATTAGAGGATAATGAAATCAAGAGCTGCTTGAAAAAGCTTCTGATCAGCTGAGACCTATGGTGTATCGAGGTTATTTACAGGCAATCATAATTTACAAAACGTGTATTTTTTGTTGACTTGCTAAAATGTGTTCTGTGGGCTCTATACCAACAATCCCAGCTTTCTTCCTTTATTTTCCATACCTGAGTTTTATTTCTCAAAAGAATAGTTTAAAACTTTTAGTATTACCTCACCATGGACAGATAGAAAGAAATGTAAAAGTCTTAACCAACATGCTTCCAAATGTCAAGCCCAAAATAAGAAGGTGAAATTCTGAACCTGTTTGAACGAACAACCCTCCTGTCAACTCAAGATCTAGGTACTGTAAAGGCTTTTAGATCACCTGGGGAGGAAAACCAAGCTGAGTTTTACTGCACACTTCCCTGCCAGTTTAGGGTAAAATGATATCTTATTGCCTAATTCTAAGGCACTCATAAAATTAATTATTTCCAGTTAAACTGTTCTATTAAAATTTCTAAAGCCCTAATTTTGAAAGTTGGTATGGCAAAATGCTGCTGATGCTCCACTTGGGCTCCTGCAGCTGAGTTCATTCTTCTGGGAACAAGGCACACACACAGCTCTTATGAGAACATTTTTTTTCATACTTGTTTTTTCCTGTAAAATTTCAGTGGGATGAAATAAGGAGAGTTTTGTGGAAATATGTAAACATTACTCAAAAAAACCCGCGTTAATAAAACCCCATGGCATAAAATTCTGTAGCAGAGATACAGTGAAGGACAAGACTGTTGCAAAGGCTAACTAAGTTGCATCAGTTGCCTTCATAATGATGGCTAAACTTAATTTCTGCTAGAAATCACCCCGGAGAGAAATCCTTTAAGTACAAAACATGCCTTGCTCATTAGCCTCAGGAAGGTTTAGGTTAGTTTTTGTGAATATCCGCATTCTCTGATGCTGTGCAGCATACATCAGCTGTTGTCCCTTCTTGTTTCCCCTTCTTTGACTAAGAGTTTTCTTTGATTCTACTTCATCCATACTAGTATGTTAGTTTTCTTCTCAGCCATGGTTGCCTTTGAGTTTGAATTTGTTCTAAATCCATATATAAGGACTGATAAGTTCTTGCACATCTCAAGATACTGTGGATAATGGATCTGAACACACTACCCTAACTTGCTGGCCTCACACCTAGAGGCTTTATTGCTCAGAAAAATATTCATCTTCCTGTAAAATGTCTTTGTACATAGGTAGCAGAATGGATAACAAGAATGAGCAAGTGCCAGAGCGTAGTGTAGTTCTTGACAGAACATTTTGTGTAAGAATATTAATCACAACCTCAGAGTCATTAAGGACACTTGCAAAGTTCACAACTGGAACATTTTATTGTCTCAGCTAATTTTTGAAGTTCTTTCTACCTCTGGCACCAGAAGTTGACCACCTTTGTACAGTGCTTTTAACCACCCCGGGCCAATGCCATGGATACAGCCTGATGAGCAGACCCATCTGGTGGCAGAGGTGAACTGACTGGCTTCTTTTGTTCCCACTCTACAGGTTTGCTCTCTGACCATGAGGAAGTCAATTTATTAACCTTTTCTGTAGACAAGTGTGTTTTAAGATTGCTTTATTGTTGGTAGAAAAACATTCTGAAACCTTTGAAAGGAAGCCTGTAAAATACTTCAGAGGATTAGGTTATAATTCTATTTATCAGAAGCCCAGAACAGTATTAGGCTGTAAATGTACTTATCAGGAGCTCAGTCTTTCTCAAGTGAGCTCTTCAAGTTTCAAATTCAGCCATATCATGATTCATTTTTGTATTAAAACATGCAAAATTTTGGCATAACTATAATTCTGTGGGTCTGGTTTGCATTAAAAAAAAGTATAGAGAAAAAACTGTTTCATGCTGATCTTCTGATTGTCAATCTTTGTTTAGTTTGGTGCTTGAAAACAGAGGAACACTGAGAAACATTTCAAATTAAAAGTTCAAAACTGTTTGGGTTAGTTGGATTTTTTAAAATACAGTAGCAGAATTCTTAATTTGTTTAATCACTTGCTTAGACTTATTACTGAACACATTTACCAGTTTTTACAGAAATTAGCAAAAAGGTCTTGGATTATATTTGTTCCTTAATACAATTTCTGCTGCTGTATTCCACTCTCCTCCTCCTCAGACCAGCATTTTTCCCACAGCAGGTCAGAGTTATGGTCTCTGAGCATCATCCTGTCCTGAAACCAGTCAATTCCATTTGACGTGGTTGCTACATTCTTCACATCATCACTTGAATAGACTTTACTGATTTCAATGGTCTTGTTGTTCCTTGAGTTAAATAACTTGTTCTTAAAATGTTCCTAAGTGTTAGAAAGGAATTTCTTCATTCTTATCAAATTCCCTCCAGCATTCTAAGATTTTAGTGATGATTTTTATTTGTCTGAATCAAATGTTGACTGTCTTAGGTGTTCAGACAAACTTTAGTCTTAATTTTCCTTCAATCAGAAAAGGACAATCCTACATTGGAACCAACTTTTAGTTTGTGTGTATTTATAATCGTAGAAATAAATCCACTCTGAAAATCATAGTGCCAAAAGCAAAACCGTGTGCAACAGTGGCTTCACAAACTATGATTTCTGTTGGTGTAGTAAGCAGCCCAGGGCTTGTCTGCAGAACCATATCATCGGTTTTCAGTGCAAAGCTTGATAAGAAGGTAGCAGCCAAGCCTGATGGAGCACTGTAAGCAGCAAAATTGGCCATTCATTTGGCCTACAAATCAAAATACAACAATAATTGAAGTAGGGATCTTACATGCCAATACTATTAATAGTAGCCTTTGCATTTCCTAAGCTGTAATACCACCTCACTTACCACAATCTTTTAACAGGACTGAGATCAGAAAACTACCTTCGGTTCATTTTGATAAGGTGTCATATTTTTATTAAAAGAATGCTGTGGCTAGGTTTATTTCTTTTCTCAAAAAATCCAGGTCAGGTTGGTATAGCACAGTTGTGAGAGAAAAGGAAAAGCCTGTGCCACTGCAGCAGATGCTTTATTATCACTTGGGGGATTTATGTTTGGGCTGGGAGGAAGCAGGTATTTTTTTTTTAAATAGGGTAATGAAAATTCTTTCCAATTTTAGCTTGTTGCTAACATTGCTGCTGATGATGATCTTTTTCTTTTTGCTCATTTTATTTCTTCAAGCAGTTCTAACTGGGTCACAGGGTTTTAAATAACCCAGCTAGAAAAAGTTGTACTGCATAGTCAGTTGTATTTATTATTGTCACATCTTAACTAGTTCATCTCCAAATACTTAATGTTTCTTTTTCTCTTGTAGTACTTGTACATTGATAGAAGGGAAATGCATTAATATTTCCACATAAGTACAATATGTTATTCTCTACATTCCCACCATTTTAATTAAGAAAGAGTAACCCAGCACAAATGTCCTTTTGTTACCAAATTTCTTCTCTCAAAATGAAATCAACATGTCTGTTCCTAGAATTAAACACAATTAGCTTCAAAACTACTTCTTCAAATAAAATTTTTAAATTTATATAAAAAATGAAATTTAAAATTTTACTAGAAATTATTCTGTTGAGAATTTAAAATCCATTTTAGATCAATAGTGTTAAATCAAGTTTCACTTTTCTGAGTCCTACATTTCTGAAAAAAACTGTCATTTTCCATGAAGTGTGTGTGTGTGGGGGGGGGTTGTTTCATAAATATATTCTATTTAAATTCAGCAAAAATTTAAGAATAATAGAGTATTTAGATTAAGCTTAGTGCAAAACTCTGTTTTTCT